CGAAAGGTGACTTGTATTACGGATTAAGAAATATTTTAAATTTTGATTTGATTCAATGAAATCAAAATTTACAACCATAAACTAAATATAACACGTATGTAATATCTTAAGAGAATTTGTATCATTTGTACTAAAATACCGACTGAGAAGAAGTAGTGGTTTTTGCGTCCCCTGTGATTTACAGTGATGATTTTAGCATGTTTTTGATGACGGATGACGGGAGTTGAGTCGGTAACGTTGGTATTCGTTTTCATATTATCGATAAAGTAAAATAACATTGAACTCTATCTTTCATAACTTTGCTTATTAAATCTTATCGAAATAAGAAACATTAAATTATCTGAATCAAACGATTAATACATGTAGTCGATTGAAGTTTTCGCATTTCTGTGTTTCGTATATATACACTACGAATACGTGAGGTGACTACCTAGTTATTAATACATCGAAATTCGTAATATACTCTTCGTACGGTAAAACGAAGAGGCACTCGAACACTTCTTACTCGTGTGATCTGCTCAGATAAATTAAGAGCTTGGTTTCATTTGAAGATAATGGTCAGTATCAAACATCTAATCGAAGAGTGTACTGAGTGCTTCTTCATGACATTTCGGGCAATTCGCTCCAGCAGAACGTACGCATATTTCGCCAAATGACAGAACGAATATCTTTTCGTTGGCGTGTTCGTTCTAAAAAGTACGTAAAAAAAGAATTTCGTTAGATTCCTGTCGCGTGATAAATCTATCCGTATGACGTTAAATAATTATATGTATGTTCCATTGTTTGACTTTGGCATCGTCGACTATGACTTTAACACATGTGACATGTATAGAATTCTCGTTTTAAGATCAAATAGGAAAACGTCAAGAATGACAGTGACCCAATACGATCTTTCTCGTTTCGATAACAACTAGTAACTTTTTTCGTTAACTTACAACCTAGTTTCGATGTAGTTCAAATAATGCTATGAAAACAAAGACAACATATGCTACATATTGCAAAAACATTTATTACAATTTATCTCTCGAAATTCATCGTGTAAAGATTCTTTATGATCACATAAGCTATCGATTATTATATTTGTTTGTGATACACTGAAACGATCTTTTCTCATGAAAAATAACGAGAAGGATAGAAGGAGAACGAATCGAAGAAATTTGCAAAATCACAGATTACCCGTAATCAAATTTGTATGTGTTCGTATACACGAACATTATATAGGTGACTCGGTAATAAAGGTTAGGCGCCGTCACTAAGGAACGTGGCAGGTTACCACGCTGTGCAAAAGGAGAGACCCATACTATATCCAAATACCGTGCTTTTAAGGCACGTTCTTCGAGTCTGTTGGTATCGCTGCTGGTGTTATTGCGACTAACAAACAGTGTATAAGTACGAATTTCGATCTAAGAGCGTACAGTCTGTGGGCTGGAAAAATACCAAAATGGTGGCTGTACGATACGGGTGATGTGTACGCAGATATTGGAGTGCATTGTAATTTCAGGAAAAACACGTGCGAACACACAACATATACAAAAATGGGTGACTCGAAGGCGCAACACGGTACACAGGAGATGAAAGGCTGGCTCTTTAAATGGACTAATTATTTAAAAGGTTATCAACGAAGATGGTTCGTCCTGTCAAATGGCCTACTGTCGTATTACAGGTAGTTTTCTATGTGTCAGTTACTTTCGTTTCAGTTTACCTTCACTTTTAATCGCGTGTTCAATCACGCCAAAAATCAATGTGATTTCTATTCGTAACGTGATTATTTTAACACGGGTTCTAGTCCCGTGATGTGGTTTCCAACAGCATAATAACAATTATTGACAGACAAAATTTATTTGGATACAATACGGAGCTGTTCCCTTTTTTTCATTATTACATACTTACCAAAGCACTGTGTGTATATTTTCTAATAGAATCTCACACTTTCAAGTTGATCTTATATCGGAGTAAAATTTGAAAAGAAATTGTAATGATTACTGTCATAGTTATATAACCTTAATTAGGTATTTATTACTTACATATATTTATTAGATGAAAATATAGCCACATTGAGTTTAGTTTATAATGTTTTACTTCTAGTTAAACAAAGAAAAGTTATAAATTTCTTGAATGAATCTATTACTTCTACGAAATGTAACATATAAGCATAATGTTATGCTTATAAACACATGCATGTTTACAGCTGCATGCGTATGCTTTCATCTTGTGTATTATATATGTAATGCTATAAGTACAAATATTTGATTTTCAACTTAAATATGACACTAAGTCATCATGTAATTATGGTTCAAAGAAAAAGATCTTGCATTGAAAAGTTTAAGGAACAGCTTTGGATTACGTATCTGACATAGTGTTCGATCATGCTTGTGATTCTGTCAATGACTTAAAGAGTTGGTATTTAAGAACACAACAAGTGAAATACAATACTAAACATTTAACAGTTTGAAATTGCATGTATGTAAGCAGCCAGTGAAGGCTGGATCATGGATATTATTGATATGGTTTATCCAAGTATATTTAACTGAATCTTAATCATGATTTTGTCCAAAACTCATATTTACATATTCCATACTTATCCATTTTAGTTTGAGCAACATCCTTGAGCATGTACATGCCACAGAACACATTGAGATCTACGTTAAAATGGTTGAAAAGCATTGAAAGAAAGAGTGGCTGGTCGCAAGGACCATATTTTTTGTGTGTATATATATATACACACACACACATACACCCACATACACACATACTCGCTTATATATATCACACGCATCAGAGAAGATTTATTGCATATTTGCCTTTTTACTATTCTTTTTTTCCAGTACAGCGAAACTTTACGTTGAATGATTTTTGGTTTACTTTTGTATATAGTTATGTGGGAGAGTAAAAAAATCGCTAAACATTATTTAACCGTCGTTAGTCACGTAAAAAGTGTTGCAACGTTTTATTTTCGCGGACGAAACTTAGGTCACCCCGGTCTCACAGTTACCGGTTGTGGATACAGGTGAGATAGTTCTAAACGAGTATAACGTATATGTCGATGATTCCACTATTCTATTTCTTTATATTTAGAACATGCGCGTTCCCTGACAACATGCAATGCCCACATCTTTTAATTTTCCGCTTGGCACAGTTGTGTGATTTGAGTTTGCAACGCCTTTCCAAATTGCAAAAACAGAATGTCCTGCAACTTTATTTTTACACGAATTTTTCAAACTTCGTGATCAGTGAAACTGCTTCTCGCACAAAGTGTGTACACGCAACGCACGAACGTGATGGTTGCACTGTTGGCTATATTGCTATGTAAACAGGAGAGAATAGAAAGAAAAAGAGACTAAGTGAATGTATGTGTGTATATGAGAGAGTGAAAGAGAGAGAGGGAGGGAGGGAAGGAGCGAGGGAGAGAGAGAGAGAGAGAGAAAGTAATCAAGAAACGAAATATGAAAGAAAGAAAAGGGACATCGCTATATCGTGAAAATTCGTGGATAAACAGCGACAGAGATACAATTTTTTCTCGAAACAGATAAAAAAAATTATCGCTTCGATACAATATTACACAATGTGAATAGGGTCTATTTGTTTTATGGACTGTTTAGGGCTGAACCAACAGGGGGGCCAAAGATATCAACACGACGCAAGCGGAAGGCTGGCAGAGCCTCCGAGTAAGTAAAATTATCGAAAAAACCGAAATTCTGACTATTCTTTGAATCAAACTTTTTAATTAAAACAGACAAAGACGATGTTCGAGTTTTCATTTTCATTTCATTATACAGTCCTTGCCATATTATATATATGTATATGTATATGTATATGTGTATATACATGTGTATATATATATATATATATATATATATATATATATATATATATATATATATATATATATATATATATATATATATATATATATATATATATATATATATATATATATATATATATATATATATATATATATATATATATATATATATATATATATATATATATATATATATATATATATATATTTGAGCTACGTATTATTAATACAACATTGTCAATATTCCTAATAATTTTACTTGCTTCCTGTCCATTTCTTACCCTTTTATCATAGATCTAATTTTACAGACCGATTCTCCTCAGTCCACCCCTCTCTTCTTAATTAAATCTCAGTTACTCTAAAAAGGTGGTAAAACTTGTATATTTTTTATGTTCTATGTGTACATATATACGTGCATATATACATGTTTACCACACACAAATATAAAACACACACACTGCTTTATATTGTCTAATAGTTCCAGTTCTGTTGAGGAGGTATTCCGAAGGTCTTTGCAGACCGTGTAAAGCTTTTACTGGCTCGTTGGGAATGTTCCAAGAAATAATTATAGCACGAATAGATGAGCTGGTATCAAGGAATACCGATAATCTTAATTTGTCGAATAGTTTCAACAGAGGAAACAAATATTTATTTCATTGATTAATTCTTATTGACGCGGTTAATGCGAATTTTCCTCGGTCAACTTATTCCCTGTTTTACATAACGTATGCAGAATTTATTCTTCCTATTCTACTACTTTTGGTTCCGTAATATTCAGACAGTGACGTAATAGTCTTTTATTGATGTAATATCTTCTTTAATATTAGCAAAGTAAGTTTAGTTTTTTTTTAAAAAAGAGTAGCCTTGTTATTTAAATGCCAATATTTAATAACATTGATAACTGTTCGATTGTCTAAAATCATCGGTCAGTAAAAGCATATATCAGATCCTCCAAGATACACTTTGCACTTTAATTTTCTCTCAATTTATACTAGATTGTTGTGTTTAGCCCAGTCATTTTATCTAATCGTTTACTCGTTACGCTTGGAACAATGTGCAACAGAACGACAATAAAACGATGAGATGCGATTATTTTTATGGATATGTATTTTTTATTCCTTGTTCTGCCTTTTCGATGTTTTACTTATGCGCACAATTTATGTTCGTACGTTTTATATACCCGCACTTCCCCCGCCCATCGAATACACATACGAATCCTCTACAATCGATAGATTTGAATCACATAAGTACATGTACCTCACACTGCAATAAAACACATAGTTAAGATTACTTACTTACTGTCAAATAGTTTCGAAATACAATGACGAGTTCTACAAATTTTTATCATAATAGGTGGAAGGAGGAAGAAAATCAAAAAACCAGAAGAAACAAATTTTGCGCGAATGCCTGTGGTCTATGCGGACAATATGCAATAATAATTTCTGAACGCGTTAGCATGAGTATGATTATTCTTTCATCGTGTACAAAGTCTCGATCCCTTGCGTGTTAGATTTAATTCCACTGACCCTAAAGTGCATGACATGATCCGCGAGCTATCTGTTCCCCTTCTTTCAATCATCAGGCCGGCTATTGAGCATTGTACATTCTTTCTTTCTTTATTTTTTTTTTCCTGTACTCCTTTTTGTTTTCTCTTCACACAAATTACACCATTGGGTTCCTTTTTTTGTAGATTGTGTGTAAGAAAATATGGTGGTGTCATAGTCGGACAAATGGTAATGGGACTGCTTGGAAAAAGAGTTAATCGACCTCCTACTAATTTTATATACACGAACTTCGTTTTCAAAGCTCTTTGAGTATTCACACTATAGTGCCACAGATTAACACAGACTGTCGTGTGTTCATCTCGTTTGCTACGCTGTACATGTTACGGTGAAAGTATCTAGTTTGATAATTCTATATAATAGATAGATGGTCCCATAGCATGGTTCTATAGAAATCTCTTGCGGTTTCATAGAATCCCTGCAAGGAGTTACGGTTAGTCATCAGATAGAACCTAGCGAACGAAAGAAATGTTTGCGTTAATAGTGGAATTTTAGTAAGATGAGGTTGGTGGATATAAAATTTCCTTTGTTCAAATAAAACCTCAATAAGGCCATAAACTAGATTTATTGGCCTATTAAAGTCTAATTTCGAAGAAACCAAATTTTATATACACCAACCTGACTAAAGAGATTTTATTTGTACAAGTTTCGTCTTACTGTAGAGTTAAGCGTACTCTGTCGCCTCGTTTCAGCTGAAGTTCACAGTAAAACGATCACGCGTCTAACTGAACAAATATCAGAGCCTTCTTGTACAGTTGAACTAATATTATTATTAAAATTTGACAAGTCGCAAGTTGATAATTAAAAAGGCACAACGTTACAAAAATAAATCTCATAAGCTACAAATTATTTGATTATCTTATTTATCGTAACAGATCTAAATTTTTGCTCAAGACAGGACCAAGTTTTCCGAGATAGACAGAGAATGAGAGAGAGAGAGAGAGAGTCGGAAGGATTAATTACTTTCACGGTAACATGTACAACCTCGTGCCTGCGTATAATCTAATTACGTGTAATCATTTCTGGGGCGAATCAAAAGTGTTTTATTTTTGGCTTGGATAAACCTCAGGCTTGCATTAGACGCAGCAAACGGACTAATTTTGCAAACTCACGTCTGTCTTTCTCTGTGTCATTCGGTTCTCAATCGATTGAAGAATATGTCCGGGGAACTGTCGCTATTTTCCTTCTCTGTTTAGAAATCCCACGGAGATGTCGCACACGTGCCGCGGCACGATATCCTTGCATGGGGCCTTAATACACACCGTCGACGCTTGCACGTTCGTTGTGAGCAACGGTGGCACGCAAACCTTCCATATCAAGGCGGCGACAGAGGTAGAACGTCAGCAATGGGTCACGGCCCTCGAGTTGGCGAAGGCCAAGGCCATCCAGGCGATGGAATCTGGTCTGTATCAACGAAATATCATCCATTTTCTATCAGGCGTTCACCAGAGAGAGAAAGAGAGAGAGAGAGAGAGAGAGAGGGTCAGGGGAGAGAGAGAATCAATCGTCAATCTTTGTCGATTATGTATCTACAGTAGCTCGTCAAAATATTTCAACACTTATCAGAGAAAATTGTATACGTCACATTTTGGAATCTCGTTAATACTGTAATGAAATATTACTATTATAATTATAGTGGTAAAATTTGAAATCGATCTGGTAATGTATATAAAAGTTGCAAGACATCTATTGCAAACATAAATTCAGTAAATAGTTGGTACACGGTATGAATAGCCATTGTACAATAAGTGTTAAAGATAGTCTCACTGAATATTCAGGCTTATGAATATACTGGATAATTGAATGTTTAAATACTTCTGCGATCTCTGCAAAACATTGAGTTCTTTGTAACTTATGTGTACATTTCTACGTACAATTTATCGCTGCAATCATGATAGTCGTATTTTATTGCGGTGTGAAGGAAATTTCAAGACGTTTTCTGCGTAATTTATTCGTACATAATTAGATACGCATAATTTATTTGTAAAAAAATTGTTGTAATTGTTTAAATATTTTTGCAAGTTACTGTAACTGAAAAAGGGTTAAATCGGGCTGGAACTTGGAACTAACAGGGAAAGTTCAGCAGCTGAAAAATGTTAAATTATGCAGAAATGTAGTTTAAGTAATGTTAGCAACAACGTCGCTTTTCATTTCTGTAAACGAACGATTCATGGGGCTGTAAACACTCTTCAAAACAGTTCTCCGTCTTGATCTTCTAACAAACGAAGAAATGAAGAAGCTCAGTCGTCTGAAAAGAGAAGTGACTTCGTTATTTCTAAAAATGGAATTTATCACGCTCTCTTTAACTTTGAATTCCACAGGAAATCTAATTTTAATCGTTAAAGGACGACGATGGTCGTATTTATTAGACTGATTGAACAGTAGGTGTCTCTTATTGCGAATATTAGGTTTGCAGACGATATCGGTCGATCGTCAATATATAATCGAGTAATTATATATAACTTTGATAGACGATGCACGATTTTGATTTAGAGTTGCATGATTCTGACTGATTTTTTCTCTCTTATGATTTACTGGCTATTGATACTGAGTAGGAAACATTTGCTATTTGAAGAATCAATGAATCTATTAACAGTTTGCGAACCGTATGAAATAGCATTAAAGGCAATTGTCCATAGTAACTCTTCTAACATTTACGCAATTGACAGCCTGGTAGTTTTTCACGAAGATAAATGATGATTTAATCGACACGAGATACAATTATGTAATCATGAAAATCTTAATTGTAATTTAGAATTAGACATAAAGTAGATCTATATTTTTTCAATGCTATTTTTTTATCTAAAACATTTAAGGATACGCTCAAATATTCTTTATGGAAACTGGTCGTCCCTGCAGTATCTGTTAACTAACGGTTAGACTGCGGAATTTTTATGCGTCTGTGGAATACTTAAAAATGCACAGAATGCATAAATATTCAAAATGGAATACTGATCATAATATTTCACTTTTATAATGAATTTCATTTTTTGCAGTTGTGAATTTTACAAGTTATTTGCTAAATATTCTTAATATACCAATGATATAATGATCATTCCTACCATACAATTTATAATATTACTAAAAAGATCATCAATCTTTAGAGCATAATAATTGCTATCTCTATTGAAATTGTATTATTATAAATTTATAAATTTGCTTTCTTGCATACTTAATTTTTTCTACACAAATAAAGCATTTCAATAAAAGATAACGCACGAGGAAGTCTGGATGATAAGCGAAACGAAAAGAAAAGCAAACACGTCTTGATCTACATTTACAACTACATTTACTTGTGTTTTCCTTTGTTATCGATCTCTATTGTTACACAACATTTCCTTTTCATTAACAGATAATACATTCAAATACTTATATATTTGTACACAGATATCTTTGTCTATCTATTTTATCTTCATCCTTTAACTCAAAAGAAATTGATTTCGCAATTTAATAAATGATACTGAATCATATGTAATTGTAGAAGACGATATTGAATTATAGTCACGTTCTCTTTTGTTGAAGTATCATAGACAATAAAAGATTCTCCGTTGTCTTTAATAAAATATTGAGTTGAATGAGAGTTAAATTGCTCTTAGAGGACGTTAAAACAGTTACGTTATGTAAAGTAAAATTTGTTTCAGAAGAAGAGGAGGAAGAATTTCAGGATAATGATAGCCAAAAACCAGAACAAGTTACTGTGAAGGACTTATCGCAGCGCTTAGAAAACTTGCAGGCCTGTAATGATTTACTGATAAAGAAAGGGACTATGCTTCAGCGAGTTTTAAACGAGCTCGAAACGTTGGAGCCCCCGTCGCCTGAGCTAGCTGCGAAAGTCAAGACAGTCAGTGAACGAGCCACGCTCTTTCGCATCGCGGCCGGTGCTATGGTTAATGTAAGTTGAAAGGCCATCGTTAAGACTAATATACAGATGAAAATTTCTGGCCAACGATGTATAAAATTAGCTCATTCGCTGCGCGTAGCAACCGTGCAGCTTTGTCGCTAAATATTAGGTTCAAAAGACTCCTTCTTATGTGCTAATTAATATTTCTAAGCAGTTTTTAATTTATCAGTGTAGTTGCTTATGTTATTGGTTTGTAGAATACAACCAAATATTTATTTCTATTTCCATTAAATTTATAAAGTTATAAAAATCTGAATATTATATTAAAGATATTGATTTTGGAAGTATATGTATATTTATAAAGTCACATAGAGAACTAATTCTGATTTCAGGCAAGTCACGACTACTTGCAACTAGCGCAGCAGCAGGAACCAAAATGGAAGAAGATGCTGCAGCACGAGCGTGACCAGAAAGTGAGAATAGAAAAAATGGTCGAGCAATTGGCCAGGCAACATTCTCACTTGGAAGAGGCTGCGCAACATGCCCTACCCTCGGCAGCTCCAGCAGGGGGACACAGAGCTTCGCGTAATAATTTCTTTTTTTATATTAACGCAATTGCTAATGCTGTAATTAATATTTTGATGCAAGTGTTGCGTTTGCGAACAGTCGTTGCGTGTAACGATGCTAAGAAAGACGGACTCGAGTGTTCGTTCATTTTCCACACTGTGCCGAGCTTTTACCTTTGTACATTGTACGCAACACAATACTCTGATTGTGCTATAGGCCTTTTAACTCTGTAACATTGATCTGAGATTCTAATAGAAATGTATGTTAAATACACATGGTCACATAAGTGTGTATCTACCGAGTGTGAGATGCTGTATTCATTAGATAATAGTGCACAGCTGCATAGTTTCGCCTTACTTAATATACCGACTGTTTGATCATACGCTTAGCTGTGTAGCACGTGAATTTGATTTTTCGCGCCTTCGAGTGCCTTATCGTTCTTTAACCAGATGGCAGTCGTGAAACTCTATTTGCTTTGAACGGTGTCGCGACTTACGCAGCCTAAAGTCTATGCATGCAAGACGTGCAGTACATTCTATATTCTACTACATATATTGTATGGCATATTACAGTAATGTATACAAGGCTTATATGTACATATATATATATACATCTAGAGATATATATACATAATATACACATGCACGGGTGTGCTTTCATTTCTCCCAAGTTTAGTACTTCATCAGACTCAGATGGCCTTGCAAATTTCCATTTTGTGTGAATATTTTTTTGACAGCTTTTTTTCGCGACTTTACCATTAAATTCGATGTGATAAAGCTGAATCGAGCGTCGAAATCATCGACGATTGTGCGACGAGAGGATCAGTGGAAAGATGCTAAACTGATAGTTAAACGGGGCGAAGGGAAGAAGTTTATCATCAACGGGTTTAGAACGGTCCGCAGCTTCAATCAAATTGATAGCAAGGGCCGAAATATATAAGAGCGCCGAACTTATTCTCGAACGTAGCATAACCTAATGGGTGGTACATTATAGTTGCCTATAAAAAAAATCACAGTGTACGAGCATCTTTAGTGATTCATTATTCGTTACTTTAACCAGTACTGCAGGTGTGGACCGAGTTTGGAGGGGGTAGAGGACGGTACAACTTAATGGCAACAGCCAGTTGTCATACCACGATTCAATCGGTTAGGAAGGGGAGTGATACAAATAATAAGAACAGGGGAGGGGTTGAAGAATTATTTCAAAGCAGAGAAGTAAAGTGAAATAAATTTGAGCAGTGGCATGCGCGGTTATATAGGTTCAATAAATTTCTCACTTTGTGTTACACTTTTCGTTGGCGCGAAATGTGTTCCATTGCGTAATCTTAATAATAGCTTTAATTGTATTTTATGTTTATGTATTCGCGTTTTATCTCTAATTCTAACAAGGAATATGAGTCATGATATATAAAGGTTTATCTCCATTTTCAATTATAAAGTTTACTGTAAGATTGTAATTGAATAATTCTCTCTCTGTTTTATTGATTGACTAAATCTCATTTAGCTTTGCATATATACGTTTACCGCTACTTATTTAATTAACCATTCAGTCAAACTAAGCAAAATTTTGGTTATCTTTGTAGATACAACAGTCACAACTTCCCCATCAGAAGACGAAGAAGATAACGTTGAGTTTTATGATGCACAAGAATCTGATACTTTTACTTTGAGTATACCTGGTGTCCAAGCGAATAATTCAAGAGATCGAACTGATTCTCAAGGTAGTGACGATGGCTCTAGTTCAGAAGGAGATCAGACACCTTTGCCTTTGTCAGATACAGCTACCACAAATTCCTTTCGCATTGTGACCGATTCTACAGTAGTAACTCCTACCACTGCTGCAAATACTGACAATCTGGACAATGTAAGTGAATTTTGCTTACCATTTGATCATCAAATTTTAATTAAATTAAAATTATCTTTATGTAATTATCTTATCTTTTCATTTATCTTCAATTATCTATCTGATAATTATCTTATCTTTTCATTTATCTTTATGTAATTTCATTCATTTTGTATCAGACAAATTGGGAGTCTAACAATGGCAGCAGTGGCAGCACCGGGGTAACAGGTCTTAAACAAAAACGGAGAACTAGAGTACCTGAGAAACCAAATTATCCATTAAATTTATGGAGTATTATGAAAAATTGCATTGGCAAAGATTTGTCAAAAATTCCAATGCCTGTCAATTTTTCTGAGCCGCTTAGTATGCTTCAGCGGCTTACAGAAGATTATGAATATGCAGATATTCTTGACAGGTATATTTTGTCTCAATTTTTATTTATTTTATTGTGTATAAAAAAAAAGAAAAAATATCTATTTTGATCTCTTACAGGGCAGCAGAATGTACAGATGGCTATGAACAAATGGCTTATGTTGCTGCATTTACCATATCTAGTTATTCCACAACTGCTTCCAGAACTGGCAAGCCTTTTAATCCTTTATTAGGTGAAACGTATGAGTGCGATCGAATTGATGATCTAGGATGGCGTGCGATTTCAGAACAAGTATCTCATCACCCTCCAATGTTAGCGCAACATTGCGAAGGCCGAAAGTGGCGTTGTTGGCAAGAGTTTACCATGGCATCTAAATTCCGTGGGAAATACCTCCAGGTATTCTTTATAAATCACTAAAGAAGCAACCTTTTCTAATATTGTAAACAAACGTTCAACATTTAATCCCGTTATGGCTCAATAGGTAATACCGTTAGGAACTGCTCATCTTGAAATGGAAGGTGGTACACATCACTACACGTGGCGAAAAGTTACTACTACGGTACACAATATTATAGTAGGAAAATTATGGGTTGATCAAAGTGGTGATACAGATATTGTGAATCACAAACAAGGTATCAAGTGCCATTTGAAATACACGCCCTATTCATACTTTTCGAGAGATAGTCAGCGTAAAGTAAAAGGGGTAGTCATGAACTCAAGTAATGAAGTTAAATGGGTAGTACAAGGTACGTGGGACTCGAAGATAGAAATCGCTCCTGTTATCAGTACGTCTGGTACACCAGACAATCCAGTATACAAAACAGGGCCTTACATACTCGCTTGGAAGCGTCGTATGCCATCGTAAGTATTTTATTAAATTAAGGTTTATGTTAAAGAAGAAAGCTGATACATTTTCATGCATTATGATATTTCTACTATCACAGTGAAGATAGCGAAAAGTATTATAATTTCACCGAATTAGCGTGTCAACTTAATGAGCCTGAGGAAGGTATAGCTCCAACAGATTCTCGATTTAGGCCTGATCAAAGATTAATGGAAAATGGTGAATGGGACAAAGCGAATGCGGAAAAACTTCGATTAGAAGAAAAACAAAGAGCTGTTCGACGTGCAAGGGAACACGAAGCTGAAAAAGCGGCCGTTCAAGGTATTCTAAAAATATATTTTCTAAAATAATTTAAGGTAGAATTATTTAATATTGAGATATTTTATAATTGAAAATTTAATTTATATTAGGTTTACCATATGAAACTTACGAACCTTTATGGTTTAAGAAAGAGCAGGATCCTTACACGGACAGTCTGTGCTACGTATACGGTGGTGAATACTGGGAATGTAAGAGTAAAGGTGATTGGTCACGATGTCCAAACATATTTTAGCTTACTATATAATTATATCAATATTGTGACCGCCAATATACAATGCAGAAATGTTTGAATTTGTTTTACGCGAAGATAGCCGATTTAGAAATCACTGCTTCTGAAAAAAAATGCTGATATGATATAATCGGGTTGTTAGAGGACATGGCATAGTCGTTATTTCTTCCAATGAACTGGTCGAAGTTGGCATTCTAACACATGAAATGAGCGTTTTGTAGTATATCATTATTTCCATTCTCCTACACATCCTTTTGTCTATTCATATTGCCGCTGCATCCCTCTCTTTTGTCCACTTTTCTAAACAACCAAGAACATTATCATATACTATCCATATGGCCCAATTAGCGCTTTGCATACAATGTTTGTATAGGCTTAAAAATTTCCTGTATTTCTTATTAGGTTCCATTATTAAGCTAAATGTGTCATAATACATTCACGAGAAATTCAGATACGATGATAAGCAAATAATGCGCGAAAATTTTGTTAATTCAGTTCATAACTGATATAGCAATAACAATAATAATTTTTATTACGAGAACATTAATAATATATTAGAAATTAAAACTATAGTTATTGGGAGTTTAAGTTTGAATACGAGAACCCGCTTAATGCAATTACAGTATTCATAATTTGTTTTAAACAAATTTAGGTATATTTAAATTTCTCTTTTTTTAAAAAATGGAACTGAATTCATAAGTTCTAAGAAGCCGATCGTAATAGCAATTTCGGAAAATTTCCATAACTTTCTGATAACATGGTTATCACGTATCCATCGCGGAAAGTACTTACATAGACTGTAAAATGTATTTTTGATGCTTGACGCGATGCTGAAGATATTTAAAAAAAATTAATTGAAATTAAATTTTTAATAGTATTGCTGAGTAAATTATAAGTAAGAAATAATCGCGTTGAATGTAACTAAAGCCTTATTGAATTATTTAAAGTAGATATTAATAGGTAAACATGTTTTTACGATATTGGTTATTTATACGTGTGGTGCGGCCAGACTGTTCATTCGACTGCCTCGTCTTAGCCTTTGCACAAAAACTGGATAAGAGGTGGCATTCGTTTACGTTGATACGACAATCTGTAACCGCTACGAAAAGAAATGTTCCTGCGGATAAAGTGATCGTAGCAATGAGAGAACTCACTATGTTGAAACATCATCTCGGTGATTTACTCGAATGGCGTATTTGTTACTATTTAACATACGGTGAAAATAAGAAAGAAGAAGCAGATGGTATAAATGAGTATGCTTCCAAAATTCTGCATTTTACCATGCAGAGGTAGACTCTTGAATGTTCCACAAAATATTGACTGGTTACCTAACCAGCCTAATTACTATACACTCCGTCGAGCTAATGTTACAAAACATAATCAATATTATTACGGGAAGAGTGTAAGGAGAATATAAAGTCACACTAAAGGCTCATAAGTTGTAGTAAGTTCTTTTCTCTTTCTCACTTCTTTTTTAAGGGAACGCTTCAACTCAGAGCATTAACATTCATTAAAAGCCCAGGTCCTTTTTCCAAGCTACATTATGTAGACACGCACACATCCATACACAGGTACAAACTGCGCGAGTGATTGTGTACGTACGTACGTACGTATGTATGTATGTATGTTTGTCGGTATGTATGTATGTGTGTATGTGTGTATGTACGTACGTACGTATGTGTGCATGTATGTATGTATGCTCGTATGTACATATGATAATTAATAAAACCCATTGTATATCCCTCTTATGAGCACATCATACAGTTGTTCCGTTCATAGTATTTGTATATTGACAACTATATATTTCAGTCTGTATAGGATCGCATTCAACGGAACATCTAGCTTGCAACCAATGTCTACAATGATTGTTATAATTAAGTATTTGGCTGTATTATAATTTTAATAGTTGATTATAATCGGATATATCTGTATACATATAAATACAAATTAACTATAAAAATAAATAATTTAAAGAAAATACAATAAGACGGATAGAACAGATGTTTGAATTATATAGTGCTTGTACATTAGCTATTCGTGTGGAACGATAAATACAAAATGCTTCGCTACAAAAAATCGAGAAAATATCTTCGTAGCATTCACATAATTGCCTTTTGGCATCTCCTATGTAATACCCGTTGGTCGCACAAAAAAGGATATGGTGCAATTATTTATACGATAAATAACTGTAGTTTTCTTTTTGTTCCATCAAACAAATTGTATTGACTTATTGTAACAAATTAAATACGATCTTGAACGGGTAATATCTATCATTGAATATTTCATTACTATCCAACGATCGGTCCATTTACCTACCATTACCAAAAGCCGTCGTTTGATATCTCGCATGCTATAATGGAATACATTGGAATGTTATTCTGCTTCGTTTTATAGTTTGCTTTTCATTCTGACGCGCGCGAAATCATTAACATCCATGACCTTTATTATACTTCCGTTATAAAAAATAAAATCAATTTTCGTAAAACATGAGAAGAGCTTGTTACTGAAATTACTTTAAATAAAAAAATGGAAACATGTATGATGGAAAAGGTCGAAATATTTGTTAAAGAATTTCTCTTTTATTCCGCGTTTTTCGCATCTAGTTCCTTATTCCGATAAGACCAAGACGTCATCGATTTTATGACGTATGAATGAAATATATATTAAGAATTCCTCGCTTATCGTAATTAAGAGGAAAACGGTCTGATAGATACGCCGATATTTTTGTTTCTACAGTTTTACCGGATATTCAGTGAATTGAACCGACATGCGCGCGGCGTCAGTAATCGGATGACGTCACGCGTAGTAATACACGTCGAGAGCGCATGGCGAGTGGAGCGTCTGCAGAGGCTGCGCGAAGTGGGAACTGCTTTCGATTGTTGGCGGGCGCCGCCATCTTGGTCAGTGAGCTTGCGAGTGGCTGTACGACGAGGTGTACGTATTTCGGTGAAACGAGTATTTGGTGCGATTTCCCTGAAACCTTTCGTCTACCCGTGAAATCCACAAGCATCCAAGATGTCGGAACGGGAGGACAACGTTTATAAAGCGAAATTGGCTGAGCAAGCGGAACGCTACGACGGTGAGTACATATTTTCCGGGAAAAGGACCCGGCCTGCGCCAAAATGAAATCTACGAAATCGACCACAAAGCACTGCCACAAAGAGAAAGGAGGTAGCACCGCCCTCGTGACGTGCCTGCCGTACGATTTCATCGGATATGTAACGATCCTCTTCTGAGAATCGAGAACCTCGAACTGGGATCATGTCTCATTGGATCTGTCAAAAACCTGTGAAACGTCAAATATGACTAATCCATACACGGTGTTGGCCAAGTTGCCGGTTCGTAACCGGTGTTTTTTTTTTATTAAAGGGTAGGTTTGTTCTTAGATTCTCTGTCACCGAGTTTGAGGTTCGTTAGAATCTGTCAAGATACTCAAGTTATCCAGAGCTCTTTCGAAGGATCGGGCAAGAAGGCATGAAAAAAGTTTCGTCGTTTTTGGGTTATATTGGTTTCGTCGAAACAAGTTAGCTAACGCCGAGACAGCGTTGCTAGGCGTGCTGTGTTCATTACTTTACGGGGTCCCTCGCAAGATAACGAGACAAGTCGGTCCTTCACCGACGTGTATGACGCATAGACACGGCACGATACTTACCAATCGCTGCCGGGTTACTCCTTAGACACGTAGTAACGCGTGCTCTGCTCGTGGCATTTGGCCTTGAAAGCCGAGAGAAATCATTTAGTCGATCGACCGACCGATCTATGGAATCGACGATAACACCTTCAGAAAATTGTAGCCTCGTAGCTTTTCCTCTATATTTAATTTTCTCGGGTATCATTTCTTATTACGTAGTATCTACGCAGTAAGGTAATAATTTCGATTGTAGAAATTTTTACATCGCTTCTGGCGAAAGCAACTCGTAGTGGGGTCACTCGTTGCGGTAGTAGGGGGAACCGTCAAATCTCTTCGTTTTACAAACCTCTCTCGTTTTGCATTTCTCCCTAGATGTATTTTACTAAATACCGCTTTGTCTCGTGGGATGTTATCGAGCCTGCAAATCAAGCACACGCGTTTGACATTTTGCGGAAGTACAATGTATCTACATATAAATTTCTTGCAACCATTTGGTTTCTCATATTTCTTGTAAACTAATTTCATTTTAAGAACAAACGTATCCGAATGTGTCTGCTAGTGAATTGTAACATTTTTTTTTCGATAACTAAAGAAAATCCTTCCAATAAATTCTTCATAGATACACATTCTAGCAATCTCATACCTAAACTCATCCTATATATTCTACTTTAGTAAACTAAAAATTACTAGAAACCATGTTACACCTTTTTAAGGTTGAAAATGAAGAAAGGAACGAGCTAACGACGCGGACAAAGGCAATAGCGTTTTCATTTATTCTGTGAAGCTGCTTTTCATAATTTCGCTGTTTTCGTCACCGCGTGAGCACGTTAATCGAGACAGGCATATTAAAGGGTAGAAATACTGGCATGTAGAAGATCCCTGGTTGAAACGGCCGCTAAGCGTGAAGAATGACAGGGTAGAAGGGAGCGGAGCTATTGCGATTCTCCCGGGATGAGGAGAAGGAAGGGCGGTGGGCAAATTTGAGGGTTGAGCGAGAGCAAGACACCGGAGGGGGATAGAGAAGGGAGAGGAAAGGACGACGGGCGAGATTACGAGTGGAGGGTGAGAACGGGAAGGGGTGAGATATGCGGGCAGAGTGGGGGAAAAGAGGGGCCATAGCAGAAGGAAAGTATTGATCTGTACTAGCTATCCTACGTTTCTGTACACCTCCGTCACCGGGTATACCATGTTCACAGTAATTCTTGCCGTCCGGAACCATCATGAACTTGAGCCTGATCTCTTCTCATAAATGTCATCATGAAACCTCTGTTGATCTTAGCCGGCCGATAATAAAGAGAGGATATAGATTAATCTTCTCTGTAATTCAAATATTTATACATTTAATGGTCGATGAATTATGTTACTTCAATGATAATAATTGATTATTCTAAGGGCATCCGTTTCTTTTCTTTTTTTTTTTATGAATAGAGTTATCGTAAAGAATTTGAGAGATTTTGAATTGTATTTTGTATTCTGGAAGTAGGACCCCTTTTCCATCATCGTCTTTAATCAGTTCTTCGCTTATTGCACGCTCCCGTAATAACTTTTACAACCAGCTATCGATCCTATCGCGGAACCACAGATTTTAATGTCGCTTGAATATAAGATGCAACAACGCATTGACGTATCAAAGTTGATGTCCACTTTTCAAATGATAGATGACAATGTAAACGTATCGTTAATCAGACTTATTTTCTGCAAGTGATGTGAATAATGAGACGCAGACAAAAGTACGTGTACGCAGATCGATATCATTATTCTCGAACATTGTGTATCTATAGATAATAAATACATAATGCTAACCAACTTCCTTGCAAAGTTCAAGGGGCAGCAGGTTAATATATGCTTGTGCGCCACTTTATCCTCTTTCTCGCGCAGAGCCTCTCTAATATCTCAGATGAAACTAATAATATATTTACACACAGGGTAACCACTTATTAATAATCAATAAATCATTTCCGATTCATTAATTTCCCATGATTGCATGTAGCGTACCTCGGTAAGTTCGATACCTTTATCAAAACATCGAACATACATTCTTTCATCTTAATTTTCATCACTTCAACAAAACATTATTATTTGAAAAAATATCTTTTGAAATCTATTTGTAAAATATTAGTTTAAAAAAGATGTTTATCTTATCTATATTAATTTCTTATCTTATCTACAATTCTTTCTCATTTTTTATATTTATTACTGTTGCTTGCCCTTTATTCCTTAGAAATTTTAAAAATTTCAATTTAATGACACTTTCGTCGACGGCGACGCCGGCGTGATTTTGCAGAAATGGTCGAGGCGATGAAGAAGGTTGCCTCGCTGGACGTGGAGCTGACCGTCGAGGAGAGGAATCTCCTTTCTGTCGCCTACAAAAATGTGATCGGTGCGAGAAGGGCGTCTTGGAGAATAATATCTAGCATTGAACAAAAGGAGGAGAACAAAGGCGCCGAGAGAAAGCTGGAGATGATCCGCCAGTACCGATCTCAGGTCGAAAAAGAACTGAAAGACATCTGCGCTGATATCCTCGGAGTTTTGGACAAACATCTGCTCCCATGTGCGTCTACTGGAGAGTCGAAAGTCTTCTATTACAAAATGTAAGAAAACTGCTGACCTTAAACCGGGGATTCCATTTTTGCTTTGTATTCTTACAAGAATGTTCTATCTAACATTTTCTTAGTTTTCAAGAGACATATATCGAAAAATTTAAAGTTCCTCGTGTTTTAATTATATAATTAGAGGTATGTTACACGCGCTATTACGAAACAATTACTATATATATATTAGGTTGTTCGAAAAGCGTCTTTCTTTTACAGACACGTCTTTTACAACGATGCATCTTTATACAAACATGAAACCTAATTTGTCGAACATTGTGATCTTTATTTTGATAGAACAAAATGAATCATACGTAATTCGATAAAATAATATAAAACGAAAAATGTTATGCATCCATTATTTCCTTATAAAAGGAAAGAAACTTTTCGGACGACCTAATATATGTATCAAATTGAATTAAGGCCAAAGGAGTATTGACCAGAACATTCGAATTAATTTGTATGTTGAATGTCATCGATTGTGAAATCGTTGGAGTTATATTGTAAAGTCAAAAAGAGAGTTAGTTTTTTAAGATAGCATTCAAGATTCTGGAGAGCGAGGCAGTTTAAATTAAGAAGTAACAAGCAACACGGAAGAACTTTCCGTTTCGGTCACTGATTTTTGAGGTATATTATTTTCTAAAACTTTCAGCTACTGTTTCGATAATTAAATGACGGTACGATACTCGTTATTTAACGACTATGGCTTATGAATAAGCTAGAGATTTGATTTTACTGTATTAACAGTAAAGAATATTTGTGTACAGTAGTCTCTTGGAAATCTTTTATCTAATATTTGAAATTAGCTCGTCGATTTCACCATCCGTATGTATTGTGCGTGATTCGCACGATTTAATTACAAATAATCAGTACTTTTACGAACATCTACGCCGCAGCTCATTAAACTTAATGTTACAATGAATATTAATAACATACATGTATGTTGTATAAAATATGCCGGGCATGAATGAAAGAAACTAGCGAAGGAAATTCTTAACAAGGCTGAGACATTTTTACGAGATCATAATCTTTTAAGAAATTATGCTCTATGTATTCTAGTAACAGATTATAACTGAAGATTAGCACGATATATATATATATATATATATGGAAACCACAGGAGCTAAATGTAATAAGTAATTTTTGTTGATTTTCTGATTTTAATATCACTTTAGAATTAAACTGGAGGATTTTAATATGATACAACTGAAGATGGAAACAAGCTATTGTCTATTCAAAAACGTAAATCTGTTAAGAATAGCTGATAAGTTGGCAATATTTTTTAGAAGCGAAAGGTATAATTATTAAGACAAACACTATTTTGGAAATTTTGAAGTAAATGAAAAATCCCACGCATACCTGCAAGACCATATAAAGATATAATTTTGATAAAATAGAATTAATTGACAACATAACTGAATTGTTTCAAAATTCTTTTTGTACAAAACTTGTATAAAAAGATAGAAAATGTGCATCTACTGTCGTCTTGACATCTAATTTTTAATTTTTTTATAATAAAAGTTGACCAGGTTTAAATTTCCACTCTTTTGTTTTTGTAGGAAGGGCGATTATCACCGTTACCTTGCTGAGTTCGCCGTCGGCAACGACAGGAAGGAAGCGGCAGAGAACTCTCTGGTCGCTTACAAAGCGGCGAGCGACACCGCCATGACCGACCTTCCACCGACTCATCCCATCCGCTTAGGATTGGCGCTCAACTTCTCCGTGTTCTATTATGAGATCCTCAATAGTCCCGACAGAGCATGTCGTCTCGCGAAAGCTGCCTTTGACGACGCGATCGCGGAACTAGACACGTTGTCCGAGGAGAGTTACAAAGATTCTACCCTCATCATGCAGCTTCTCAGGGACAATCTTACTCTCTGGACGTCGGATATGCAAGGAGACGGTTAGTATATCTTTTCGTGAAAAAAATCGCTCGTTGCGTTTAAAATGTTCACCACCACTACACCAGACTGTAGAAGCGACGTCGCACGATCAATAATATGTATTGCAGCAGCGCGATAAGATCTTCTCGTTATATTAGATTTTTCATAAAACAACAGACTCGTGTAGGAAGAGTAGGTTGATTTATTTCATGATAAAATTTATATTTTATGCAGAATGATATAAAAGTAATGCGATTGAAAGCTTCGACGTTTGAAGAAAAGATGATATTGGGATGGTAAAGCTTCTTTAGAAGCTCCAAATTTTGTATTACGTTACTAATCCATTGATCGCAAATGACTCTGTATTATAGCATTTAATTTAATTATTGAAATCATATGTGTATGGGTGATGGGGTATTAGAATGATTAGTCTGTGATTTAGAGTTCGAGGCTGATCGCGAAAACGAGGCTGCGGCTGTTTCTACCAACGTTTGAATTCAGGCATATCCCGTCCAATACGCCCTTGCATTATAAAGTCACCTGGTGAGCAATCCGATCGATCCTTCTCCTTCTTTCTCCTTAACCATTTAGATCCTACAATTAGCAGGTTAGGGTCAAAATAACTCACACCCAGTTTTTGATTAGTAGTTGAGCCGACCCTACCCTACTGTGTTATACAACCAATATTTTATCGTGATTGAAGTGGAATGTGTTTATTAACGAACTTTCTTCTTGTGTTGCGCAGGGGAGGGCGAACAGAAGGAGCAGTTGCAAGATGTGGAAGATCAGGACGTATCGTAACTCTAACTGTAGTGAGTGTTATCTTGCGCATATAAAACTGAAAAAACACAAGAAAGCAAAAAACTCTTAATAACTTGTAAGCAAAAGAAAACAATTCAGCAGGTGGCAGTTCGGGGTGGGAAGGGGAGATGTTTAGCCATTGCGTGACCCTAAGCACGCACGTACGGTTACTCCAAAAAAAAATACAAACAAAAAAGAAAAAAAATCATTCGAAATAACATACACACATTGAATTAAGGAGCGCGCAGAAAAGTAACAACGTAAAAAAGGACGTACACTCTGCGGTAAATAGGGAGACTGCAAGAGCATTTAGAGTGGCACTATTCTTTGCCTTCTTTACGTATTGAGAAGAAAACAAAAATGCTGTCTTTTTCAGTGGACGATGTCGAGAATGTTGAGTTGGCGCCGACTGACGTTATGCGCATATATTCATCCATATTAATTAAACAAAACAACAAAGAAGAAAAACACGAAATGAAAGAAACAAAAAGAGAGAAGAATATGCGCTAACCCAGTCGGAATAAACTCTCATTTTTTGTTAGTTTCAGTGAGTGAGAACGAATAGCATTATCCCCCACCCATAACGTTTCACCAATAACGAAACATGTTAATGGCTCGACGTCGATCTAAGTGCATATTGTGTTCGTTTGTTTTCACCCATCCCCAATCTCCTCCTCGTCCTCTTCCCCGCTTTTTTACTGCGCGCATCATTATTCTCGCATACTATAATAAATAACGTTATTATTAATGTATGCGTGTAAATCGAGTGTAAATCATCTGTTTATCTAAGGGATAAACGCGTCTCCTCCAGAGTTGGAGATACGTGGTTGATCGATGTGTTGGCTAAGAAAACAGTCAAAATAGAACCACGCGCCTTCATCTCTGCTTTCTGTATAAGATATTATGAATGTACTTCCGACGAAGTGTCCCGGTTTGCAAACCAAGTAATTTCATACACCATATAGATTTCGAGCATGGGTTCTCTCGTGTAGTCACTTTTAAATATGATTTAAGAACATGCGCTTACCGCGAAAGCGACGTACTTAACAAAATGCAATAACATCAGTCTGTCTTAAGTCTGGCTTTCGCAGAATCAAATTTCATGTTAAAATCGAGAACAACAAATTCTTTTAATTGTGAGTGAGAAACAAAATGTACACTATTCTCGACGTGCTCTTTCATACTCCGATCAGTCGTACTCCATCACGACGAAAGAGCACTCTGGTCGTCGAGAGGAGGGTTGAAAACAAAGAAATCACGGTAAATGAATTTTTAACACGAAGAAGAGAAAGAATGGGCAAATTACGTTTCACAGACAGGAAATAGCAGGAAACAAGTAGCTATCTAGCTAGTCTGTAATTGTGGTTGTACTTTTTCATACGCCCCCTCTGTAAACTATAACGATCACTGTGGTATAACGAATTACAGAATAAACGATTGTATCCCGACTCGTTCTTCACCCGCGCTCACTTTTGCTATTATCACTGTCCTCGATTCCACTGTATCTTAGTTGATCTTAGCCGTGCGTCCATTCACCTTTTTATCGATGAACCATTCCGTCGATTTTCGCTTACGAGAAAAAGAAATATATATATTAAAAAAACAGCCGGGAAACATTCCAATGATAAAACGTTAGACGGACTTCATTAGTCTTTACGCGAAGAATTTGTTTGCGCATCTTAATCGAGGTAAGCTTAGCGATACAACAGTAGAATTATTTGTTTGTCAAGGTAAATAGTGTCGGTCGAAAATTTGTTATGTCAGCGTTGTAAAACGATCCTTTAAGTGCAATGTTTCTGTGTTCAAGAATAGTAACGTCTTGCTTGATGATTCAAACATGCAAAGAAGTTACATGTGCAAGGTTGCGTGCTTGCATATCTCAGTCGTAACAAATATGTTTCTGACCGTCACTGTGTTACATGTAGAAAAAAACCTTCAATCCGTGCAGTTTTCTCTCGCGATCGAGAAAATGTCGATGACGTTCGTGTAAGCGTGCAGCAAAAAAGCGAGGTGTATACCTGAAGAGAGAAACAGAAGCCGAAGGGAACGCGCTAAATGAAAAATGAAAAATCGAGAACTCTGCCTAGAAATTTTTTGGTGTACATCGTGCCCCTGTATTTAGGTATTAATAACACGATACAAATTGATAATCATGTTATAAAGTAACGTTACAAAGAATAACTCAAAGTAATATCAACGGCACCGTAAGTAAGTATATGCGAGTAATCTTAAGATCATAAAATTAAGGTATTGAAAGAAAAAAAAAAAAAGAACAAGAATTTAATCGACGCGAATCGTTCAAGCGATAATGTGGAGAGAAACGAACAGTTTAGAGCGTATCGTGGAATAAAAAGCAAAAAAGAAATCACCATCCCGAAAGTAATTTTGATAATCGTGTGAGAAACACGCCATGAAAGGTAATGGAACCGTAAGAAGGGAAGAATAAAGAACAGTGGAGGAGCAAAGAAAATATCGGAATCATTGGATAAGAATTGCATATAATATATATTATATATATATAGTTTACGTAAAATATACGTAATACGTGCATAACATACCACGCGTACGAGCGATAAATCTTTGAAAAAGAAAAAAAAAAAAAAGAAAAAGCAAAATTTTAAGGTACAGTAAAGAAAACTTGTCAGTGGCAGTTGAATGTGGCATAAATTGAATTCCAAACGACGATAAACTGTGAGATACCTCATCCAATTACTTGCTTACACGATGGATTAAAAACAAGATGAGTAGCCAAACGCGATAACATTATTATTATCGTCGACGATGTAGCGTGTGATTCATAATGAAATTAATAAAAAAACAAAAAACGTAAATGTAGTGTTCTCGGCTAAAATAAAATAAAATCGTAGGTAGGCATTGATACCACCTGAATTTCACTGTAGGATTATTAGGGACGAATAATAGATGATCGGTGTATCGATTGAGACCGCTTTTATCCTTTATTCATTATCGTTGTGCGTGCTTAGTCAATTTTTATAAAAAAAGAAAAAACACGGAAGAGAAAGACGGTAAAAAGGAAATAACACATACAACATTACACATCTATTGTTCCATCTTTCTAGATGTAATATATTTGCTCTTATCTCTGTATTCTAAACATTAGTTGTATATCTCTTTCTATTTCTTCTTATAATTATCTTCGGATCATTCCATCTTGTCGCTAACCCAGTTCACGAGAGCGAATAATTAGACCTGGATATCGAAATTTATCGTCATTTGGAGGAGAACTAAATCTGTCGTTTCTTTTTTCGGATTCGTATGCGTTCTCACGCTCTGTACTATTACTACTACTAACTATTATTACAATCAATGCGATTACACCGGATACGACCTTTTTCTGTAAAACCACACACACACGTGAAAGCTACAAATAAAGTAATTACAACTCTCTAATCGTTTCTTCGGATCTTTATTAATATATATTACTAAATATCAACATACGCGTCACTGTTAAAAATTATAATTAAATATATAAAATATTGTCTGTATCGCGTCATGTGTCATCGGTTCAGAGGGAGTCACCTGAAACCAGGATCTTCAATAACAATTCTAATGAACGTCACAGAATCATAATTTAATACATAAACAAAAAAAAAAATATACATATATATATATATAAACGAATCCAATGCTGGTAGCAATTAGAGACAGGCATTGTTACAGGGTGTGGAATACAACTATCTTAATTACACGCTGTAAAATACCATCGTCTTATGTTCTACATTTTTGTGAAGTTACGATGCTATAAGAGAACACTCGGCATACATTAAATCCTCTGATATCACAAACAAACATATTCTTTATATATTAGGTGACCCAATCTGTTGTATATCGATTACTTAATCACGGAATAATTTAATTTGCTAATATTGTATACATATCTTTTGCATTGACCGCGTGAGATTCCTTTAATCCACGATTATCAACTATAACGCGTTTACACAATCATCGATCGCGAACCACTGGCTTCCACTTTCTGCGACTGATTATCTTTTCCGATAATGTTCTCGCGAAAACTCGACGAGTTCGTCAACAGACGTCGTGGTCGTTTATTAATATCCACCTGCTTCAGAATTCGACTCAACGAGTTATCTGTGCCCTTCATGATCGGAGACAAGCTGAGGCTCGGTGCTGTTCGCGTTTTAATTATTCGTCCGCTCCTCGGCGATCTTGACATCTGATCGCTCGTTCTGCGCCTGGCAGATTTTAATTTTACGCTACGTAGCATGTCCAAGGAAACCACTGGCCCCTTTGGTCCTGGTATTGTGTTTCTTCTGTTCTCCTGAAATTAAAATTTATCCTTCGTATATTCTAAGTTTTTGATAAATGTATTTTGTATCATTTTTGCATAAGCAGTTTCTTGCAATATCTGGGGGATGTATAATTGCGTGGAGATCTCTCGAGAAAATCCGCGTTTTATTTTTCAAACATGTAAAGATCACCTTGGGATTTTTAAATAACCCCTCGAGTGTCCGGTCGAATAGCAACGAGGGTCGAGGAACAATTAACTAGACTGAAAATTGTGCCGCTTTAACGAGTGGTTAGATCTACCGGAGTATTTAAAATACTTCAACGAACATCCAAGCGAACATATATTCGCTACTCTAAAATACAATTCTCTTTTATACAGTTATGGTATTTTTTGCATCATTTATATTTAATTTTTCTTTTATCCGCTACTGAGCGCAACTTTTCTCGGATATTAACCAGCAATAATCTACGATCAAATACGTAAAACCCAATTCGCGAAAGATAAAGAACGGTAATTCTGTCAGGACAACTTAAGCGACTTTTCTAACTGAAAGCCGACTAATCCTCCGAACTATAGCAAGGTCTAGCTTCGAAAGGACAGAGTTCTCCACACCACTTGTTCATATACTCCAATTAACGGAGCGGCGTGTAACAATCCTCGGATTTACCTTAACGTTCTGCGGTGCTTTTTTTAGGGTCACCTTCAGCAAATCCTCGACGGTTATAGCTGGCCTATTAAACAGCGGTGTTGAGCACTTTCTCGAGGGCATCCTGACGCTTCTGCCGTTGTTCGGGGTGATCGGTGTAATCGGCTGCGCCGGTAACTGTGCTGGCGGAAGTGCAGGAGCTGGTGGAGGCAGAAATGGCAAAGGAGGTGCTGGAGGTGGCGGGGGAGGTGGGGGAGGTGGAGGAGGTGGAGGAAAAACAGCAAACGGGGTAGATGATAGTGAAACTGATGGTATCGGTGGTGGAGGCGACGGAGATTTCTTTGGAGATTTTGTTCGCGTATCCTCCAACGCTTGCTGCAATCTTTGTAGTTCCTGTATCAAAGTTTCGTTACCACTGGCCAACTTCTTGATGATGTCTTGCATGCCGCTAACCTCTGCGGTTAAAGCACCGATGACACTTACGTTGCTTGCACGCACCTACGATAAAAAGATATGCTAATAAGGCTGATTTAATACGCGGCAGTCGTAGAATGCGGAGAATTGCAAATGAAGGGTAGCTATTTATACTCTTTTCAATTTTTCGTTTTAAGGAGGAACGTATAAACGTTTCTCACCGCTATGATACTGTATACTCTGTTTTGTATTCTTAAAGCCTTTTAACATTTTGCTCGATAACATTTTTTTGTATCGAGATAGATTTGAGTTATAAATAGTTGTCGTAATAATAGTGGATAATGTACCTGGGTAATTTGGTCAGACAAACGATTAACTTTGTCCAGAAATGTGTTGATCATCTGCTCGTTCTCCGAGCGTAACTTTATCACGATATGACTGAGCTCCTCCATTTGCCGCCTCGCTGATGTTGATGTTGTAGCGGCTTTGAAGTTTTCGTAACTCTGAAATAATTGTTAACCAGATGATAGATATAGATTGCTTATTACGTAAGCACACTTGCCTCTTTCAACACAGCCGTTATTCTTTTTATCATCCAGACGCAGAACAGAACGATTTTAGCGATGGGTTTCTTGGCTGAACGAAATCTTTGAAACTTTTTGTTTCCATGGAAGCTGGCGCATGTGGGCTGCAAATGATTACATTACAATCATATTTTTTATCATTTTCATGTATAAACAATTCATAAATTGGAATTTAAGAAATTTAAAAAACAACGTAATGAATAGGTTACGAATATTTATGCAAATTCATATTTTTATGAACATAAGTTGAAAATAAAAATAAAAAACTTCGTCATAGATTTGTTTCAACTGCTAAATACCTACTATATCTAAGCTGTAAATATGCAAAAATATTTTTGCATATTTACAGCTTAGATATAGTATTGCATAGTTTGCATATTTTGCATATTTGCATATTTTGCATATATACAATATCGTGAATTTTTAAATTTTCCATAAATCATAAAAATTCGTAATTCAGTGATAAAAAAAATTACATCTTTGAGATATTTGTTGCATCCATTAGAATTAGGCACAGCCGGAAGATCCAAAATTAAAGTGGTGGAAGATTCAGAGCTGTCAGTGCTCCAAGGCGTCTTCGTTATTGTCGGTTTAGGACAAAGATGTTTCTGAACATTTTTTTTCTCCATTGGTAATAAATTAGTAACCGTGTTAGTAGCAACAGGTTTTTCTAACCTCTCCGTATCTTCTTCATCGTCAAATTTCAGCGTGGTTCGACATCTTTTGGCAGGTGGTGGAGAGCCACTGCACGGAGTATACGAATGAACTCTAACTCTCGTATTACTCTCTACTTTCCTATAATCTCGTATGTCATCGACTTTATTATCGATCTTGTCAGTTCCATCTACAAAAGGATGCTTATTCGTTCGTTCGTTTGAATTTTCTTCCGAAGATGGTGTGTTATAAGAAAATGGGCTCATCTGCAGTAATCTTGTTTCGTCACATTTCTTATATTTTGATAAAAGATTCCCAAAAAATTCTTGATTCGCCGTTCGAACCTTCAAACTATTCAAGTGCCGTAAATTCGAAAGAATTCGTCTACACTCGCTCCAATTACTAATAAATTTATTTCCAGCCGAACTCTGCGAGTTCTTCTCATTTACTATTTCATATCTCGTATCTCGATCCCGTCCGTCCCATTTCTCTTCATATCGACCCACAGACTCGCAAGCAGAGATTGTAGTTTGAAATTCATCAAAAAAATTGTGGTATCCATTTTGAGGTTCTGATTCTGAATTAAAGTTAGCAAATTGCGGTATTAGTTCTGATGTATAGTCGCAAGGAAAATTGTAAGCCGATTTCGAGGAACAAAGTTGGTTATTGCAACTATAAACGTCGAGCCTAGTCCTTGAAAAAGATTTTTCCTCCTGCAGAGACTGGCAGTCATTCATTTCTAATTTTATTTCATCGTTCATTGACAAAGTTTTGTCCAATGGAAAGCATTTTTCTGTAGACTTGTCGATATTCTGCTTAAATAAATTTTTTACCTGTTTTATTTCGATCAGTTCTGGTCCCTTTTGTTCAACTTTTTCTTCTTTCTCATTTTTGTCTAATTTATTTAGATCTAATTCTATTTCACGAAATGTGGGCACGATTTCTAGACTTAAATCGTCATAGCATGACAAATCAGGTTGATCGGATTCGAAGAGCACAGATTCTGGGGATCTCTGATGCAAAAGTCGTTCAGTGGACCTCGACCTTTTCTTGAATGGAGTACATTTGTGTTGCACGCAATCGACCTCGTCAGAGGTATCTGATTTTTGTAATAAACTTTCCTGGGATTGATGAAGATATTGCTTACGTCGAGATTGTTTGTAAGCTTTCCTCTTTGTCATTGTGGTTTCCTCTTAAACTGCTGTTTGATGTTTATGCGAGTCCAAGGGCTCATGAATGATTAGTCAAGAAGGTATCAACATTTTGAAAGTAAGTTCACGCAGACTTTTTTGAGAAGTTGATTTGCACGATATGGATCACGAATTTTTAAACTGCTTTCGTTGATCTACCGAACGAGTATGAAACTGTTCTATTTATTTGATACACTAATGACATTGTACTAAAGGTTATCTATTTATATTTGTTTTGATTCTAATAGAAGAAATAGTATAATAGGTAATTTTCCTGACCATATAATTCCCTAAATTTGTATCGTTTATGTGCTATTGTTTTCTATAAAGTTAATAGAATGATAAAATATAAAGAAGATCGATGAGGACTGTTTTTCATTTAAAAGAAGATTTATTTTGTAATTAACAAAGTTTATCTTTAATTACAATTGTATACGTTTATGTTAAAATTAGAACCTTCGTGTTTTAAAATTCCACTTCGTTTAAAACGAGGTATATGTCTACTTATTGGCAAAGGATCCACCTTTCCTTTTTATTAAAATTCCTTTTTCGCGTACAACGCGAATCTGCTTTATAATCATTACTGAATACAGTCGAGTCTCATTTGACAAATTTATCACTCGCTATTTAGTTCATTAACAATTATATGAGCAAAATAACGATATTCATTTCTTGTTCGCGAAATCCTCTCCCTTTTTAACGTTTTTCTTAAGCTCTGGGATCGCTGCATCCAGCAGTTTCTTCTCAAATTCGCTAAGTTTGCCGATACCAAGATTCTTTTCGAGTCCGTTTTTCTGAAATTTAATAGAAATATTATTACTTAAATACACTTAAATATTAAAATACATTATTGTTTAATAATTATACTTACACCCAAGAGACACGGTGTTGAGAAGTACTTGGTGTCGCAGACGTCTGATTTAACGTAAGTGCATTCTACGATACCCTGTTCTCCGTTAAGCGCTCTGAGTACAGAGAGACCAAATCGAGCACCAGCATACGCCATTGAAAGCGTCGCAGAACCTGTGCCAGCCTTGGCTTTAACGACCTCTGTACCAGCCTCCTGAATTCTGGTAGTGAGAGCCTTCAGTTTATCTTCTGGGAAAGAAACTGAGGGATTGGTTTGTGAAATCAATGGAATAATAGTGACACCACTGTGACCACCGATAACTGGCACATTTACTTTTTGTGCGTCAAGGCCCTGAAAATAATATAATTGACATTATATATACTTTGTAGATGTTTAGCATTTCATTCATACTTCTGTAAACGCAGTAACAAAAATGGAACCAAAATAGAGATATATTTCACTTATTAAACAGTGTAACTGTATTTTGGCTATTTTACATACTTTTGAATATTATGTGCATTCTATGAATGTTTAAATTTCCTATAAATGCATAAAAATCCCAAGTTTACATATTATGTAAGATTCATTTACTATTATATTTCTTACGAACCTTGGCTTCTGCGATAAAGGTGTTTGCTCTAACAATATCAAGAGTAGTTACACCAAATACTCTATTGGGGTCATAAACACCAGCTTTTTTCAAGACTTCACTGGCGATAGGCACAGTGCTATTGACTGGATTTGAAATAATGGCAATGATAGCTTTTGGGGATGCTTCTGCTATAGCCTTAGTAAGATCTCTCACTATCGAAGCATTTGTGTCAAAGAGGTCATCTCTGGTCATTCCAGGTTTACGTGGAACACCAGCAGGAATAATGACCAGCTACAAAGACATTATACAATGAACAAAAATTTTGAATGCCTTGTAAATATTTCGAATGCATTGGATAAAATAAATACCTGTGCTCCTTTAACACAATCTTTCAGTTCATCTGGACCAGTGTATCCTTTTACTTTGGATGGAGTATTTATGTGCGATAAATCAGCGGCGACACCTGGTGTATGCACGATATCATACAACGATAATTCGTTTATAAGGCATGATTCTTTGAGAAGTAACGATAGCGGCTGTCCAATTCCTCCGCTTGCTCCCAAAACCGCGACCTTGGCGTTGCACTGTAACGAAATATCCCGAAAAAGATTAGAGAGAAACAGAGATATAAGGCATATACGCATGCGTAATCGTGAAATTAATTTACGATAGTTTACTTTCTAAAAAATACCATTTCACACAAAATTTCACACAAAAGATTTCCAGAGAAATTTATATATTATATACATATTGAATACATATTTTAAGAATCAAATGACATTCAATCGTTTCAATGATGTTCACAGTTGCATAACTAACGTACTTCACGTGTATTTTAAGTGATATGATCGATAAGCATTGTTGTAATTCTGAGTTTGATAAAGAATTAAGCACATGATAGAGGTACAAAGTAGAGTAAACTACTTGGCCAATATGATGCTTAATAGAGCTTTCAATTGCTATATAAGACTTACTCTGGCGCTGGTGGATAATCGCTTTGCTCCTTGTTGAGCAACGCTTAACACAGGCTTCAGGTATCGTGGCAGCATGTTCTCTGTGACTTCCTGATCACAAATGCGGCTGATTTCAAATTTCAGACAAAACTCGATAACCTTTCAAAGACACTCCTCCGATGACCTCAATAGCCTCAATGCCATTTCACACTTGTTTCGCTTCGTCCAATCGTCAATCTGTTATCTTCAAATATGTATATGAGCATGCGTAGTTTCGTGTGAACAATTTGCGCAAGTCGGGAACATTTGCGCGCCAATTCTTTAAGAAATCATTATGTAAATTGCAATTTACTATAGTTTTAACAATTGTATCGCCTTACCTTTCAAAAATAAAATATTTTAGTAACTTTTTGTTTTGTTATATTTGTTAAAATATGATATTTGTTTTATTATTTTTAAGTATTTTCTAAAACTACATTTTCAATTCATTATTAAATATAAAAGAAAAATTAATTAATTTGGAGTAGAATGTTTTATCTGTATTTTGATTATATTTGAAAAATTAAACATATTTGAATCTTCCAGAATATCTCTGTGGTAACGCTAGTTAGTAGCTGGGTTCTTACAAACTTGACAATACGTATAGGAAGGGTTGAACGTTTATTTTCTGAAATTTAAGCTATTAAAATTTAATATTAGAAGAGAAAGGTGATAAATTTGTAGAAATATGTTTTTAGCAAGTTAAATTTATGTTTACATCAAACAATTGCGTTAATTCAAGATGTCAAATGGTACGTAGGTGTTATCTAACCTATGAAAAAGCTGTAATATATGTTTTCCTTCACCAAAGTTATTTTATTGAAATGTACAAATTATTTTTATAATTTTGTTATGTAAATACAATTGTCCTATTTATTTTAGAAATAGAAACAAGTTTATTAATAGTTGTATTAGACGTAAACCCTGTGCAAAGAATTATAAAACAGGAAACAAGGATATTGACGCAATGCTTAGACTCTACTGTTGTTTTTGCGAATGCTCATTTAATGCAATCGTCTAATAATCAACTTGCCGTGATAGCATGTCATAGTCACGGAGCAAAATTCTTATATCCTTGTGAAAAACCACTAGAAATTAGACAAATTGACGGACAATATGAAAAGTTTACCATGATTGAACGCACCATACGGCAACAATTGCAACAAGTTATCAATGAAATTTCCATGGATAAACCATTAAATGGAGAAAGTCTTATATCCGGAGCATTGACTATGGCATTGTGTTATGTTGCAAGGTTAGAAAGGGAGAAAGTTGCTAGTGAAAAAATATATTCCAGAATCCTTGTGATCACAGCTAGTAATGATTCAGCAACGCAATATATGAATTACATGAACATATTCTTCACTGCCCAAAAAATGGTATGTCATACTTTTGTATTTTAATATCCACGCGACTCTAACTTGAACTTAATATCTTTGTTGAATAAATAGGGAATAATATTGGATGTATGCAGCTTAGATCAAGAATTGACTTTACTTCAACAAGGCTGTGATATTACTGGTGGGAATTATCTAAAAGTGCCCCAACTTAATGGATTATTACAGTATTTATTGGTAAGAAGAAAAAAAATAATTTAGTTATTTGTTGGTAAATACTTTATTTGTCTATAATCATATTTCAGTGGATATTTTTACCAGACCCAAACGTTAGATCAAAGTTAGTACTTCCACCACCTGTGAAAGTAGATTATAGAGCAGCATGCTTTTGTCACCAAGAACTAATTGATATTGGCTATGTATGCTCCATATGTTTATCAAGTAAGACAAACGTAAAAATAAAATGTATTTTAATATAAGTCTATGCAAAAAATAATAAATAAAACAAATATTTTTCCAGTATTTTGTAAATTTAGTCCAATATGCACAACGTGTCAGTAAGTATTCTAATAATGTTTCAATTTATCATAACAGTCTTAATTTGTGTGTTTCATTTCTTTCTCTTTTTTACAGCACAGTGTTCAAAATACCAGGACCTATTCCCATGAAAATGAAAAAAAAGAAAAAGAATGTAGATATAGTACATTAATTGTATTTTTTACTAAAATATATCTATTTTTTCATTATAAAAACATTACACGTTATTTACTAACAAAATCAAAAAAAGGTACAAATGGACATGTTATATACCTTTATTATAATACACTTTGTCTATATGTTCTTTCGCATGTTCCTTAAACTCTTCATATTCGGATGGATACAACTTCATCAATATCGGACTCATAGAGCTTAACAATTAAAATGCATTATCGTATGTTTTCGCATGTGAACAAGAAATAAGATATAAAATTTCTTACTTTCGTTCGGGGAAAATCGCAAGGGCGGATGGAATTGCAAATATGCAGCTATAAAAATAAATTACATCTAATAAGAAACGATTAGAGTGAAAGACCAATGAAATTAAAGTTGAGAAATTACCCTATAGCACATAAACCAGTTTGAATTGGAATTAAGATCCATGGTCGATGCTGAGAAAAACAATAGGGCATAAGTTTCTGAGTGATGATTGGAATGAGAAGAAAGCATGGTATGGACATAGCTATTCTTGAGACTAAACATTCACAAATACTTTTTACAGCTGCTACTTTTGATTTCATGAAAGGTTCTGTTTTGTCTTTCATGTATATTGGAATTCCTGTTGTGATCTCTTTGTAACGTATGACTGGCAAATTTATTATGTGACCAGTAGTCACTGCACAAAATGGTAAACACCTCTGATGACAGAAAAGTGTAAGAGGAAGTATAATGTAAGACGCTAAAAAGTATAAAGAAGCAACAAGCAACTAACAGTAAAAGTATATGATTTTTGAGCCAATATTCTTTTGCAACAAATAGTCATGATAGAGCCTGTTGCAACTGCACATAAATAAGCTTTTTTTACACTTTTATCATCGCCATTTAGTTTACTTTTGTACACGTCATTTACAATAGCATTATGTATTTGATTTACTGCTTGAATTATTATTATAGCAAGGGTACTTCTAGTAATAGGATATAATAATTACTGGGAGGATTTATTAAATCTTTTGTTTAAAAAAAGTATTCTGTTTTTGTAAGATAAAAGTTCTTATAAACTTACTTTTGACACGCTAACATAGACGCCGTAAGTATAACCGAAGTAGGCATTTGAAAGGACAATCTAGTAACAACGGGTACTAATTCACCAGTTTGTGGATGAAATGCACCGTCTCTGAGTTGTTTTGCACGAATAACATCGGACATTCGTGTTCCAGGAGGTATATTGCCTCTTCTGACAAAAGTTAATCATTTGAAATTTTAAAGTGACTGAGCAATTAAAATTTACCTACTTGTAATCATCACAGAATTGTTTAGCTTCTCTTAATTTCTGATCGTTCACAAAAATCATACGGCAATCAGTAATGAAAGCGAAATGTTTCAGTCTACCAATATACGTAGACTGATCCCATAATGGTTTATCAATATCGATTCTTTCGCCGACGTTCATCGTCTTATTACAAATTTAAGTATACCTTTCAGTTGATATTGTACGGCATTATTAACGATGATAAATTTATATTTGTTAATTGGTCATTAACTACAATTTCTGTTTACATTTCATGCTTTTATTTTGTACTAGAATTTTTATTAATTTTGAGTTCCAAAAATATAATAATAGGAAGGAATGATGTAATACTGTAAAGAGAAAATTAATACTATGAAATTAATGAATTGCCATTTTTGTGCAGCGAGTGAAGTTAACCAGAAGTAATTACGTTTATACATTGTTAATACTTTAACAACATAACATTTATAAAAGTTCCCTCTGGTTAATATAATAGGAATGGATCTATAAATCATGGTACTCGCTTTTTTACGATATTGCATTCTTTATTTTTTCTAAAAATCTATAGTGTACGTTTTACATAGGCTAAAGCAACAACATGTAAAGACGCTATTCAACGGTGGGAAGAAAAAACTGGTTTGATCGCCAGCGAACAGAAAGAAATCATTTTGTCTTTTCAATGGCCTCCGATTGAGAGAATGGATAATAATTTAGCGGCACTTACCGCCGTCGAGTTAGTTACATTTTTTCACAATGGTTTTCACAAAAATATTGAAGTCAACGACTTTTACTGTTTTCTAGGAAATTATCTCTCTCAACGAATATGATAGAGAAAATTACTGGTATCAATTCTTTAAAGAATTTAAAAATTCTATCTCTGAGCCGTAACAATCTTAAGACGTTCTCCGGATTGGAAGCAGTTGGAGAACATTTAGAAGAATTATGGATTTCATATAATCAGATCGAAAAAATTAAAGGTGTTAACGTATTAAAAGCGCTGAAAGTACTTTACATGTCAAATAATTTGGTAAAAGACTGGGCGGAGTTTAATCGTCTACAAGAAATACCGAATCTCGAAGATTTATTGTTTATTAATAATCCTATTTGTGAAAATATGGACACGGAATCTTGGCGTAGTCAGGCAACCAGAAGACTTCCAAAACTAAAGAAACTTGATGCTATACCGGTTGTATAATTATCTCTTAATCATTACACGGAATGAAGATAGAAATTTGAGTCTCGATAAAAACTTTTGCAATAAAATTGCAAAATGTATATTTACACAGTATAGTGTACATTTATAATACATTTTCTTTTCACGTTCAAATATAATACATTATATTGACATTATCGGCATTGCCTTATTTCGTGAATCTTTGCGATGAACGATTAATAGTCTTCGACTTTCATATCGTTCAACCCCAGTTCTTCGTTCTGATCAAAACTTCTTTCATATTTAATGATTTTTAAACCGCTATCTAAACCTTCATCTGACAGGCTCTGAATGTAACTATTGCCTGCTGGATCATCTAATACAAGCGTGATCTTTTGTTTCCCTTCCAAAACCTCATTTAAGTGAGATATGAAGGCTTCCATCCGTTTAACAGTTTCTGGATCGCTACTATCACCGCTGAAAGCTGTCGATGATGATAATTGCTCTTTTATCGCTACTAAAATGCCTTCTACTGTAGTGAAACGTCCACCTAAGGCAGCGGGACCGATTTCCACCTCCAGTTCGGGTATTTCCATATGACAAGTTTCAGATTTCAACAAGTCACGGCTAAAGTCCTCTCTTCCTATAACTGTGACTTCTATTTTCACTCCCGTGGGTTCGATACCTCCTCCGCTCTTGACTTCGTTCGTTCTGTGTCCGCAAGACTCGCAAACCGTTGCCATAATTACAACTTCCTTAAAATGTGGAATTTCTATACATTGAGTTAAAGATAAAGATAAAGTTTTTTTCTGAAAATGAAACTATACATGACAAAACAAAAGCAAGTACTAGTAATTGTAAACTAATTTAGAAAGTATGTCGTAATGTTAAGTAGTATGGAAAGGATACTGGTTAATTTCATGTTTGTTTCACATGGAAAATTACACTCTGGACAATTTGTTCTGAAAGAAAGTACTTCTCCTTCAATTTGTTCCAAAGGATATTCTCCTTCTTGTATAGGTTTTAACAAAGTATCATCTGTATCATTCTCCGAGTAGATTCCTAAAATATGATCTTGCTCCGTTGTTCTTTTAAACTGCACTGTAGTACATCCTTCATCTTTTAACATGGCTTTTGGATTCTCTACATGACATTCGCCTGATATATCTTCAAATATTATAGTAAAGGGCTTCTCTAAAGATTTAAGCTTCCTTATCTTCTCAAGAAAGTGGTCAATTTGGGACGCAGCATCTGGATATTTTTGCCTCCTCGCAGACTGATCTTGCTCCAATCCCACAATAGTTCTTTCTATTATTCCCTCAATTGTCGTAATCTCTCCTTTTTGTGATCTAGATGGAATCTCAAAGTCCAAGGATGGAATTTTTACACTAGTGTAGTCTGATTTAACTATTTGACGATTCAGATCCCTAGGAGTTTTAACTTGCAGCGTTATCCTAATTCCCTTGTCTGCAATTTTTCCACTATTTTGTATCTCATTATTTTGGAAGCCACAGTGTTCGCAATCAAAGGACATCACCACAATATCTTTGTAATGCGGAATCTTTGTCAAGAGTAATCTAGTAATACCCTGTATTTACAAAATAGTATATTGGTTAGATGAGTCACAGGTATTTTGTTTTTAATTGTAAATTTACCATACATTTTTTTCGCAATTCATACAGAGACTCTCTATCTCTGTTGTTTCTGGCTCCGGATCTTCAGCCGACAAATCACGAAATATTGGTTTTGCTTTTGCTTCAGTACTTTGTTTTTGATCTACTGCCATATTTTGGTTATATAGAATGTATATACTAGATTTATGTAAAAAAACTGTTTTAAGTAAAATTGAATTAGATTATCGATATACGCTGATCAATGCTTTTACGCTTTCTTATTGTACGTTTGCCTGCTAAATACAATTTTGTAAGCTCAAATTACTATTTTTTAAACACTTAGAAAACATAGTGATCAAAATAAATTAACACGTGTAAATTATTTAGTTTAACCTAGGGTCCCTATATGAAGGAGTGTAGCCAACTGAAAGTCATGAAATCACTAAGATGTTTAAATATAATAGAAGTACGTAATTTAAAAATTATTTTACTTATTATTTTTATAATTACGATAATTATACGAAGAATCCAAAATATTGAAAATTATACAGAAATTATTATCTATTGCTTGTATAAAGTACTACAAAATTTGTATTGAAAACATATAATTTAATATACAAAGCTATTAATAAAGTACTCAATTTTAAAGTAGCGCTTTGTATGATCAATAGCGAATTATTTCTTTGTTTAAAATGAAACATAAGGAAATGTCTCGAGATGCCGCACAATTTTTGTATTTATAAATATCAGCAGCAACTTCACGCATATCATTTTGAATGCATTTAAAACGGTACAATTAAATCTCGGATTTCATACTTTGAATAACAATTTTACAATTTATCAGGTAAGATAATGGAAATAATTTTTATTTTCCTGTAAAATCACACTTTCAATTTCAACAGTTCTCAACATAATAAAGCTCAAAATTGCGATTTATAATAATGATTCTTTCAATGGTGTATCGTATACATATTAATAATACTATAACCTGTGTTATCGTAGAACATAGCAGAGGCGCGTTACAAATTATCGGATCCCTGTAACGTTAACTCGTAGTACTCATGAAATATTTAATTAGCACGTGTTACGCGCGGATAATTCGAATAACGGCGAGAATTCTTTTGCTGAAATAAAAGGAGCATATAAAAAGAAGTTTCTGAAGCGAAGAACTAGGGAAAAGTTGTAAGCTTAAGCGTTCTCAGTGAGTGGCGCGAATCGCCGGCTGAAAGTACAATGGCTAAGCGTAGCCAATGGCCGCCGCTTCTGAGTGTCTCGTGTCGGCTCGGTTCCTGCTGATCGATGTGTTACTACGTGTTTTCGAACTGTGCTAACTCGCATTTGACTCGATCACGCGTACTCCTAATTTTTGATCGATAATATGTCGAGTCGGCAGTCGAAAAAAGAAAAGGTGCGTTCATTATGCTGCATGTCGCTCCTGTCTCCTCTAATCGTCTCTTATGCGATTGGTACTCTCGCATACGTGAAAACAGTGTTCCTTGGACGAGAAGAGATCGCGGGCACGCGCGCGCTTCAGAGAAAGAAGGAGTCCGTAGTCCGTAGTCTCTATGTGTCTATGGGCATGAGAGAGATATAGATAGTTAGACGATGACAGGGATAGGAGAGAAAAGAAAGAAGGGAGAGTAAAGAGAGTACGGGGAAACAACCCCGGTAGCCGAGACACCGAAGGGTGTAGCGTGATTCTGATTTCTTGATATTCGTTTCGCTGGCGCATTTTTCTCGAGCAAACGTTTCAAGAACCTGACAATGGTACTTTTAACTAATTCTCGCGTTTCCGTTCCGTGTGACATCGCAAGTGCGAGTTCTCGTCTATTTGCGGATCGCGTCTTGAATGTGAATCGGTGCTGTCGTGGCATTGTACGCTGGTATAAAGCGGTGCAATTAACTCGTTTTGTTCTAGGATGCGACGAAGATTGGCAAGGACAAGGGAAAGAACGGCAAGGACGGCGAGACTAGTGACGAGGTGAGGTTATATCGTTCTTCTATGTTCTTATTGATGTGGCTCGATTCAATTCGAGTCGACTTCTGTCATAGTTGATTCTTTCTGTCGCGGATCTTTTCTTTTCATGTTTACGCACGTCACCGATTCGTTTATTAAAATTATTTGGTGTCGTGTCATTTCTCTGAGAAACTTCATTTATCATTTATCCTCTGAAAACGATCCAGAGTCCATCTTCGACATCGTGTGCCACCTGAAATGTTTCTCTTCACCGAGCTGTGTACACGCGTTTATTTCAAAATACACGCTTCTCGTACCATATAATTACTCAGTATTGTTTTTTTATTTAGCGAGTATTACACGAATACTGTTTCGTAAAACAATTTTAAAGTTCTCATTGAAAAAAATGTTGCTTGGCACAGGTGGCGCTTAAGCGTGGACTTAGTTGATAAATAGAAAACGATGTAAACGAAAGATGCCTTACGAATTAACTGATATATATTTCTCTTTGGCTTATGTTTCTTATCATTTCGTTACACGCGAGCATATGTGGCTTTCCTCGTTAAAATAATTTATGATTTCAAAGATAAGCGGAATAATGCGTTATTTTCTAACACGCTTCCTGAACATAATTAATGTACAATCTATGTGGAGTGCAATCACTTACGGTATGAATGGAGCGAATTCCAAGCATGGAATTACCGCGCAATTAAATATATGCTAAACAATCTTAATAAACTGCAAAGAATAATATGTTCATTATTGTATAGCAAATTAATTCAGCTTGTGAGTTTGGCATTATATTTATATAATTTTTATCTTATTTTCTAATCTTATAATTTTTATCTTATTTTTTCTAATTTCTTCTAATCTCTACAATGTAAATAATTGGTTTTAGTATATCGATTAAAGAATGTGATTTATAATATTTATGGTTAATACGATAAAATTGACCTCACGTGATTTATAACAAATAATATTATGAAGTAGCATGGTATTATTTATGAAAATTAAATATTTATGTAAATATTGCGTAATTCATTGCTTAAGAAACTAAAGTGCGTCGCATCTGTTCAATTATCGATTGCCGATAACGAAAAAATTTATAATCGATTAATTATCAATTGATTGTACTGAAATGCGAAAAATTATTTCATGTTTGATTCATAAATTTGCTCTGTGTATGCAATATTATTTTACAATTACGATATTATTAATTATATTATAATAAACGACAATTGATCTCGTAATTAATAATAATTATTACAATAATAATAATAATTTATTATTTAAAGCATATAAATTATTAATCATGTATCCATGATAATTTTCGTATTGTAGTGCATTTTTTAATTTGTCTTAATAAATTTGTTTATTCTTGTAATGGTAAAAAGCAAAGTAGAAACTTTCAAAATTATATACATATATGCATGTATTTTCAAGAATATTCAATCAATCACAAAAATATTTAACAGAGCAAAAGATTTAATGTAGCACGTTAACAGCAAATATAGAAGCAAGAAAGATTAAAATTCATCTTACACAGCCAAGAGGGAATATACTTATGCCTAATTGTTATGGGATACACTTACTCAAGGACTACCACCGTCAACTAGGTTCCTCAAGAAGAAGTTTTGTGATTGGTGTTGAAGTCATTCTTGCACCTCTATCTCAATTTTTTCATTTTACACTAGTAGATCCAAAATATTAATAAAAGTGTTACTATGTACTATATAATTGTCTAAAAATCATTCACAAGTAATTGTCATCTTTTTTGGCCACTAGAGGATACTCTAAATGGACAACAGCTCAGACGAAGAGTCAAGACCAATAGTGCATAAATGGTTTCAAGATCAACCACAAAACTTCTTTCAAGGAAGCCAGGCATTAATACAACGTTGGAACAATTGTGTTGAATGTAATGAGGATTACGCATAGACTGACATATACATTTGCTTTTAGCGGACAATTTTTGTTTATCATTTCTGAATTATATATAATGGAGCACGATGAAATTTCTCTTGATGACATCTCTTTATACGATATGAAACATTTTCAAAGAACATACTATACTTTGATGAGTACTATAAAAGAATGTAAGTCATTAAACCAAATAAAAGTTGCACCTATTTCTATTTTAAGTTGTTCCATTGTTGAAACATAGATCAAGTGCACATTTAGACAAGGAATTCTCTTTCTTAATAGTCAAATTGTCAAATTATTTGTTGCTTCACATATGCAATTTTCATGCACACATTGTATCAGCAATTTTACATTGCATTATAAGACTTTTAACAAATCTTTATATAAAAAAATGTTGTATCCTTAAGTTTTTATTATTATAAAATTATTTCTATTCTTTCATAGACGAATAAGGTAGCAGGAGGACCACCGGTAACCGCCGCACCACCACCACCGACGTTGATTAACAAAATCAAATACCAACCCGGAGGCCCTGTGATAAAGAAAGATAAACGGCAAAGTAGCTCAAGATTTAACATATCGAAAAATCGTGAACTTCAAAAGTTGCCGCTTCTATCCGGTAAGTCTACCAAATAAATTTTGTTACTTGAAAATCTGATAAAAAATTAAGTAAAAAAGTTTCTAGCTATTTATAGAAAAAATAAATTACAACTATTTTAATTATTAATATTTAATTATTGTTAATTACAATATTATTATAAAAAATATTCAGGATAGAAGATTTTTCCAGATAAATTGCAAAAAATATTAGTTTTTATAATTATTAAACTGCGGATTTCTATGTATTTATAGGAAACTAAAAAATGTAATTAAAAAATGTATAAAATAGGTACTCCTAATATACAAAAATATAAAAAAATCTTCAAAGTGAACTACATTCTATAATATTTAATAGGTGGAATAAGTCTTTGCATGGGTACTATTTCTTTAGTCACGTTAATAAATCTATGAAACTACATAAAATTTCGCAGTTTAATAATTACTATAATACGCTTGATTTTTGGAACGACTTAAAAAAAGTCGTAATAGTTCTCAGCTCGAATTATGATCCGACAATTTCCTTAGAAATTTCATCCTGTGACAAATTCATCAAGATTTATTAATGTCTTCAATGTTCTCTAAGCGAGCAATTCCGCTTTCTTCAGCAATGATTGCCACATAATGATTGATTAGTGTAACAAGTCGCCAAAGTAGGAGCAATAAACCTTATCATTATTATCCTTTGCCAGGAATAAACCGCAATATACTTAATGAATGCACCGAGCGTATATTGGAGTGTATGTAGTTACTTATAGGTATATACCGGTGTTTTATGTAAGTTAAATTGCAGTGCATTTTGCCGTTTTGATAAATCGAAATGTCTCAATAATTTTTATATCTAAACCTTCGAGTACTCGTTGAAGTATAAAAAAATAATTGAATGTGAAAAGATATCAGAGTGATTAATGTCGCTATTCTAATTTAAAATTTCCCGGTGCATTGTATGCGTCTGCTGGGACTTAAGAGAGTTTTCAAATTTTTCGTGAGAGACGATTTTGATCTAGAAATATACATCGTGAAATGTATAACTGACCTACATTTCCGACTGATCGGAGGTATCTTGAAGAACTTTAGTTAAAAAAAATCTTGTGGCGCGTAATCGAGATATTTGAATAAGTAACATGAATGAAAGCGAAATTTAATTGCGAAAAAAGGAATAGAATATTTAAGAAGCGGAGGAAGTAGCAGGAACGAGAGTTAAAAAGTGAAAGGATATCGAATATTCTTTGATCATTATCAGTCAGATAGGGAACTTTATCCATGGAACAGAAATCCGTGGGGAAATTGGTGTATGGACGGTAGCATTTAAGTGATCGATGTATCGACCAGAAATCTACAGACTTCCGTTTGCTTGATGCATTTTAAATGATATCTGGATTCAAATAATCCTTAACGTCGTTCCAATAGCGAACACTTTATAAAATTAAATTCGCTTTCATTCATGAAAACGATATCAACAATATATATGTGTATCATCGTTGCCATCATGGAAACAGTAACTTTTTAATACATGTATGTACATACACACAGTGATAAGTACTACTGCGTACTTTTCCCAATTGACTGTTTAAAAAATTAGTCTATTTTTTAATTTATAAATCAAATTAAAATTGATATAACTGTGATGCAAAAAAGACAATTAATTAAGTTACTTTTGCTGTTTTAATCCCGGTCGCAGAGGATTGCGAAAGCAGCTACGTCAGAACGTATCGATTGTAAGGCGCGGTGGTTCACGCATGCGCGCAGCGTCATTCGCGATTCCTACTTTTCTAACATAAACAGTCCTTTCTCGTTCAAACGGCCTTTGATAGCAGCGGTATTTTGTCTATTCGAATTCGCAACGCGTCTTTCCCCTTGATTCCACTGCGTCCATTACAAACCGATAAGTTAGGTGACGAAACGTTTACGAAATCCTCGTGCATTAATATCGACGAACGAATGGAGATGTGACTTGTTCTTGCTCCGAAAGAACGGTCAGTTACGTCGAAGCAACAGATTGTTATGTGAACAAGGAAACCGGTGCGTATAGGGATGTAATTTACCGTGAACCGAGCCGGGGAAAAGGAGACAAGTTCCGGTGACCGATATCAGAGAACGTTAGACACTGTTGGGCAATAAGATGGTTCACGTGGATGGATATATTCCTTTTTCGACTGGTGGCCTGCCAAAAAGTCCAAGTTTCCACCAGGGGCTCGCCTTGGCTACTGTTTTATCTCGAGAATCGAATAAACCTTACTTGACCAACTTCACTTCGCATTATCAACCGTTACGACCCCTATTAATCGGTAATGAAACCTCTGAAGTTTGCTTCTTGTCTTAATTCCAGTAATTGTCAAAATATACAGTCAGGGACAAAAATAAGTGGACAGATAGTGGAAGTGGGTATCAATGAAGTTTGATTAAACTACTACTGGTGTTATATATTTAACTTTTACTTATTATATGTCGTTTTAATTAATACATTTATTAGTCATTTTTTCTGCCGGTTACAAGATGGAGTTTGGCCCACAAATTAATTTTCGACACATTTCTTCATTCCCTTTCTCACATCATATACAGCCTACATTGCACTCATCAGACCTATAACTACGTTTTTCTATATATATGGATATATAAATGTGTATATATATTATATTATATACGTACATATATTCTATTGTTTATATATCCTTATAGCATATAGATTAGATAGTAAATAAATAAAAGCAATGTCTACATTCTTGTGTAAATAGACCGCATTTAACAAAACTTCATTGGTACTTATTTTCACTAACTGTTCACTTATTTTTTCCCCGATTGTATGAACTCGTGTATTTAGAAACGTGTAAAGAGGGAGAGGATATGAGTGTGTGAAAGAAAGAGAAAGACATAGGTCAGTGAAATAAGGTGAGACGTGAGAAACGGTAGAGTCCAAGAGAGACGGATAGGATCTATGAAAGAATCTCCAAAGAGGGAGAAATTATTAATGAAAAAGACAATGAATAAATTTACGAGGCAGGCGTATGAAATTACGAAAAGTTCAAGACAAGTAGCAAACAATTGAGAAAGGGAGTTTCATGAGAGCGTTTAAGAGGATAAGGGAGAGAATGTACGAGAAAAAGAAATGTGGAAAAGGTGGGAATTCATTGAGCAGAAGAATGGAAATCTATGCAAGAATGCGGGAGAAAGGGGAATGTACTTAATATGAGAGAAAGTTTGAGATAAGAGTTTACGAGTGTGAGAGAAAACAAGGTATAACAGGGATAGAAAGAGTCCATGAGAGAGAGTCCATGGTTGGTGTGAATCGTGTGTATGCATGTTCATGGGTCTATTTGTATAGAGGAGGGAGAGGAATTTATGGGGGGAAACAGAAGTATGAAAGAGGGAGAGAGTCCAAGAGAAAGAGTCCATGGATCTATCCAAGGTATGCATGTTTGTATATGTAAGTGACGTAAAGTGTGCGCATGTGTGCGCGTATGTATCCTCAGAGAGGGAAAACTTAAGGTCTATGTGAGTATACAATGTATCTGAAATCTGAAATGTGTTCATCAGATATTAGTAAATACACAAAATCCATGAACTCACTAGATAATTAAAAATCTAATATTTTTCTTTAGAAACTCAACAAGGAAACGAAAGAGAAGAATTATTCATCCAGAAACTACGGCAATGTTGTGTGCTATTCGACTTCGAGTCCGATCCTCTTTCGGATCTAAAATGGAAAGAGGTGAAGCGTACTGCCCTCAACGAGATGGTCGAATATGTCACCAAGAACAAAAACGTGATCACGGAGGCGATCTACCCTGAAGCGGTGAACATGGTGAGTATGACCTAACCTGAACTGCTTAATGCATTGCCAGTAAGGTCATAAGTCCATTACTAACAGATTGTTTCATGAAAGAAGGATTTCTGTAGATGTAATGAATTTATAGTGGTCATAAAAAATATATGGCACGTATATACGTGGCACTGTTATTTTTTAATGAATTTATTGTTAGGGCCTACGTTTCATTTTCAGTATTACAATTCAGTGATCGATATTAAATTTTTGTAATTGTATGATGCGAAATGTAATGCATGTACTTGGGTCCAATTACTTAGTATGTAAATGTTATAACAAATACTTTTTGTAACTATTACTCGTATGCGATTTTACTAATTCAGAATTCAAAATTTTTCAGTTTGCAGTGAATCTGTTTCGCACTCTTCCACCATCGTCGAATCCGAACGGAGCGGAGTTCGATCCGGAAGAGGATGAGCCAACGTTGGAAGCAGCCTGGCCTCACTTGCAACTAGTTTACGAATTCTTCTTACGATTGCTCGAGTCTCAGGATTTCCAGCCCTCCATCGCTAGACGTTACATAGATCAGAAGTTCGTGTTGCAACTTTTGGAACTATTTGACTCGGAGGATCCACGGGAAAGAGATTTCCTGAAGACAACGCTTCATAGGATTTATGGGAAGTTTTTGGGACTTAGAGCGTACATCAGGAAGCAAATAAATAATGTTTTTTATCGATTTATATATGAAACTGAACACCATAATGGAATTGCCGAACTCCTTGAAATTTTGGGAAGGTAACTTTGAATTTTTCATTGTAAACGATAATTGTTTTATAGTATGCTATATGTTTATCGATTGTTTGTTTGTTTAGTATAATCAATGGGTTCGCACTACCATTAAAAGAAGAACACAAAATATTTCTATTAAAGGTACTTTTACCTTTACACAAAGCCAAATCGCTCTCTGTATATCATCCGCAATTAGCATACTGCGTGGTTCAGTTCCTGGAGAAGGACCCATCATTGACTGAACCTGTTATTAGAAGCCTGCTGAAATTTTGGCCGAAAACACATTCCCCTAAAGAAGTAATGTTTTTGAACGAGCTTGAAGAAATTCTCGATGTGATTGAACCTGCGGAATTTCAAAAAGTCATGGACCCATTATTTAGACAATTAGCGAAATGTGTATCATCTCCACACTTTCAGGTATTGTCGATATTCTTTTTATTAGTGATAGATCATGTAAATTACAATTTTTGATATTATATGAATTAATATTTATAAAAAATATTTTATCGTGTTTTTATCAGGTGGCTGAAAGGGCTCTGTATTACTGGAACAACGAATACATAATGTCCCTTATATCGGATAACTATGCAGTCATCCTACCAATCATGTATCCAGCATTCTACAGAAATTCTCGAAATCATTGGAACAAAACTATTCACGGCTTGATTTATAATGCATTGAAGCTATTCATGGAGATGAACCAGAAAGTATTCGACGAGTGTACACAACAGTATTATCAGGTACGTTTTTAATTATTACGAAACAAGGACGAAAGAATAATGTTGATTGAAATATTCGTAGGATCGACAGAGAGAAAGGAAGTTTATGAAAGACAGGGACGAAGCGTGGATGCGCGTTGAAGCATTAGCAATGAGACATCCGAATTACAACGCGGCTCTAAAAGGTATTACGAATACAACATCTGGCACGATATTGCAACAACAATTAGACAGCCCTCCACCTGACGAAGACGGTGATACAGATCAGACTCCGCTCACATTGGAAAAGATAGAAGCGAAAGCGAACGAGGTATGACAGATCGGAATCGATCTTTCTCTCGTCCTTGATCGTTTGTTTATTAAGGAGTCTAAATTAATCTTTTTTGCCATAGGCAAAAAAAATGACCAACTCCAATAAAACAAAGCCACTTTTGCGAAGGAAAAGCGACTTACCCCAAGACACGTACACAATGCGGGCATTGTCCGATCACAAACGCGCAGACGAATATCTTGTTACGCCACCGGATCCTAACAATTGCTAGTCTCTACCGCAATCTCTTCCCATATATCCTCTCTTTTGCTGCAGTGATTTTGGGAGTTAGCTTTTTCGAAGAGAGAAACGAAACAGCGATGAGTCGGATCTAATCAATCGAGCAGTCACAACATTCGACGACAACCGTCTACAACAGAATTTGATCGTTTAGAGAAGTCAACATTGTCATAATTATCTCTCTCCTCTTTCCCCACCCTCCCTCTTGTATCAGAAAGTATCAAGATGTGTATTGTAATATCTTTTTCTTTGTATCTCGGTAAACGAAAAAAAGCTTTCTCTCATTGCACCCAGCACATTCGGAAGATGTATCCATGTCCGTAGTAATCTATAAAAAAGAAAAGGAAGGAAAAATGCTGATAACTTCCTATATACTCTTCGAGTTGATTTACGTAAGGTATCGCGAGATTTATGAAAATACTACATACTCGCTATCAAAGAAATGAAAAAAAAAAACATGAGATGTAAAAGAAACCTAGTAAATAAGGGTCCTAAGTGTATTAAATAATACACAGAGTATTTTATAAATTGTAGATTTCTTGCGTATGGAGAAATCTATCGCTGACAATAAGACAGTTTTTTCACACTCATATGTACGTCTTCACATTCTTAAATTTTCTGTGCTCGATGTTCAATAGATACTTGGCATACAGGTTAGATCATACACTAAGTTAATGATCGAACTGAAAGCTCAAACGATTTACTTACTAAGACTTATTCGTAATTGTTTTAAAACAGGTTGTCTTGCTTTTGGCGGGGGATTTTCTTCATATCATAGGAATTTATGGTTTATCGAACACCATATATACAGGGTGAGTCACAATGCGTGGACAAAATTTTACAAGTTGATTCTTTTACAAGTTTTATCTAAAGGAGTGAATAAATTCTTTTATTTTTTTATATATTAAAAGCGTATGAAATGTAAATATCACTAAGTAAAGTGATGAAACAATAATTTCTGATAAACTATTTCAGAGTTAAACATTCTTCTAAAAACACATCAAAGCTTTAACTACTTCTACATGATATTTTTTATTCAGAATCACCTTTCGAATTAATTGATAAATTTTTGTTCACTTGCGGTGATATACATCTTGTATATATACTCTAAATAAACAAACAAATTTTATACGAATTCGAAAGGTCAGAAAGAATGGCCGCGTGCTTGATGTCGTAATAATTAACAATAATAAAAAAAAAGATAAGAATACAAATTTTAGAATGCAAGTTTGAGGCGTTACTCTTTTGAGCGAGGTTTCCACTGATGCGCAAACGACAGACATTTAATGACACACAAGTGATATATAGTTGCTTCAACGCTACCAGCTCGTAATTTAGCGGCAAATAATAATAATAATAATAATAATAATAATGATAAAAAAAGAAAGAAAAACGAAAAAAATTGCAAAAAGAAATGAAAACGTCGTTTTAGAGTTAGATGAACGTGATAGCACTATTTTAGAATATCGATTGTTATAAATCTGAATATTCCTGAACGTACTACTTTTATATCTGTCGTGCCTAGATGCCTGTGGAACGCATTCGCAAGAATCGCCTCTGCCAGAGGCCTATAATTAAGAATCGTTAAAACAAAAGAAAATAAAAAAAAAAAATGAAATAATAAGCAACGAGTTATACGCGACGTTACCAAAATGGTGTGGTGATTGCATCACGAGTTTTTTCAAGAACGCTTACACAAAACGTTGCGTCGTTGCTCCGTCAGTTTCGCGGTTAACAAAATAAAGAGAGAAGTAAAACGTTATATAGTAGTTTGTCGCTGGCAAGAGAAGCAAAGGAAACGAAAAAGAAATGCGAAGAATAGAAGCAAATTTAGGCGAAAAAAATTGCAAAAAGAAATGAAAACGTCGTTTTAGAGTTAGATGAACGTGATAGCACTATTTTAGAATATCGATTGTTATAAATCTGAATATTCCTGAACGTACTACTTTTATATCTGTCGTGCCTAGATGCCTGTGGAACGCATTCGCAAGAATCGCCTCTGCCAGAGGCCTATAATTAAGAATCGTTAAAACAAAAGAAAATAAAAAAAAAAAATGAAATAATAAGCAACGAGTTATACGCGACGTTACCAAAATGGTGTGGTGATTGCATCACGAGTTTTTTCAAGAACGCTTACACAAAACGTTGCGTCGTTGCTCCGTCAGTTTCGCGGTTAACAAAATAAAGAGAGAAGTAAAACGTTATATAGTAGTTTGTCGCTGGCAAGAGAAGCAAAGGAAACGAAAAAGAAATGCGAAGAATAGAAGCAAATTTAGGAGTCGAGGAAAAAATAACGAGGATGGCCATTGAGCAGTGGTCCAGCTACGTCCTCAGCATCTTTACTAAAGGCTTTTTGGCTAATTCCTCGTGTTACTCTTGTTTATTGGATATAGAGATTCCGATACCGTGAAAATAGTGAAGTTTAAAAAGAAAAAAAGAATTACGATCTAAGCGAAATATCTTTAGTCTTTGCGCTGCTGGCAGGCTGTTATGTTTAAACATTGTAAGGAATGAACTTGTTGAGAATAGAAATACGGTTAGCACTTATTATTAAATAACGAAAATTAAAACCAAATGAGATAAATATAAAAAAAGAAAAATTATTTACTATTTAATCGCCCCTTCAGGAGGAGAATGGCTGTTTTTGTTACGGAAAACCATTAAACGATAAGTATTCTTGTCGATACTTTTTATTATCAAGTGCAGTGTAATCTCGATAAATCTCATTGAAAACACACTGTATCTTGTGCAACAAGTATTTAATAATAAAAGTATTTTTAGTAAAACTATTTTATTTGAATAGGTTTGCATTTTCAATGGTACTCCTTTCAATGAACAATAAGTAACTAAATTGCATTCGATCCATGTAATATTCGATGATATCGTTTCTGTTCATTTCTATTTTATTTTCTCTCTTTGTTAGCTTCCGACAGCGAAATCGCTAATGTGGATTATCGGGATTACATTGTATTTCTCAATCGTTGAAATCAATCGCGATGAAGAATAAATACATAATACTGTTCGATAGAAGCGTCCCTCCGGTAATGCATGTTTCGAGGTTTCGTCTCTTACTGCGTCTATTCTTTCACTTGTATCATCTATGATACGTCTTTGAAGTTTACGAATTTTATAGTAGAATCAGAAGACCACTCGAATTTTTCGTGCTTAAATATTCAAGAAGACTGTTACTGGCTCATCGTTGATCGAGTATTATCGAATTTTCCTGACTTCCGTTCCCGCAAATTGTGCCAGGATTAAATAATATAAAACAGAAACGAGAGAGAGAGAGAGAGAGAGAGCATAAAGAAGAAAAAAAGAGAATGAGAGAGAGAGAGAGAGAGAGAGAAAATGAAATTTGATTTCATTCGATGTAGATCGTTCTCTTGTAACTCCTGTATGGGTTACCTCGAGTGAGTTTAAAGGTTCATTTTCAGCAATGTTTTATACGTTTTTTATGATATGAAAGTCAGCCAATAATCGTGTATTTTGTAGATAGAAAGAAAAACAACCTATTATGCGAAAGAATGATTTTAAATGTTTTATGTAAGGAGGAGCAAGGATTTTCTGAATTTAGAAAATGAGCAATCACGCTATCGTAGGCAGCTTTCGAATTTTGTAGAAACGTCTCTGTTCTTCCTTACGTAAAGTTCTACGAAATATTCGGGAGAACTATTATTCGATGGAGAATGAAAGCGAAAAAAAAAAAAAAAAAAGAAAGGAAGGGAAGAAAGGAATGTTTATAAAATATAAAGAGACCCATATGTACAGTGACTCGCTTCAAAACTAAAGGTACGAATTTATGATGGAACGATATAAAGAGACCCATATGTACAGTGACTCGCTTCAAAACTAAAGGTACGAATTTATGATGGAACGCGTACAGGACTGTGTATCAATGTTCGATTAACAAAATTTTTTTAATGATCGCCTGTCCGATCGATTCGTTTCCATGCATGCATATATTCCTTTACAATTTGTTGGAAGCATAATTTTATAATAAATAAATCATTATAATGAAACGGCATGATTTTCTTGCAGCCATGAATTCTCCAAAATCCTACGACTTTATAATCCCTGAAATTTTTGTCCTTTCTTAGTAAAAACCATTGTCTACGGCGGTACAGTTATAAATTCGCTTTAAAACTGGAGACAGAGAGCATTCGTCGGTGCACGGATTATAAACTGTGGTTACATGGCATCCTGAACGTTGCACTCAGACCAGCTGCAGTTTTCTTTCCTTTTTCGCCAGTACGTGTTGGGAGAAACCGCAGGATTCCACAGTTTGCGTCCACGATACAGGGCAATCCCAAGTTTCAATTTACATGACTTTTTATCAGATGTCGCCGAGAATATTTCTACAGTCCAGCTTACTCTTTGAATAACATCCGAAGGTCTTTGAAAGTATACATAAGAAGAAATAAAATGTATACATCGGTATCCGGTTCGTGTACAAGGTCCCTGTTATTTTATTCTTATATTCAATCCTTGAAATTCTTGAAAAAGAAATAAAGAAATTTCACCTTTTGCTTTTCAGATATATTTATTACGCCGTATGTTCAACTACTTCAATGAAAATATTAAACCAGTCTACACACCCGTCTTTCTGCCTTCCGTATAATCGATCTTTATTATTTTATGTTTTCGTTTCTATAGTGTTTCCATATCCTCGTTAGGACATTCTAAAGGCACATTTCGTGTACAAGCACGTGTCATATATTCTCATAAATTGTTCTTCTAAAAATATTTCCTCTGTAAAAAAAACAACAGGGCCAGTTACGTCATCATTATCACCATGTCGATAAGCGAACTTAATTTTTAGAAACAAGGTTCCACGAATCTTCATATGGAAGTATACGCGCTTACATACAGATACAAAGATTTATTTTATAAAAAAAGGTATAGGCTATATAAATACAAAATTATATCTGAGTCTCTCAGAAGCCAAACTGATCGCGTCTATATTTTATAAGTTTCTCAATTTCATTATCCGATCACATAATTATCATTGAACTTGTCGAAATTCATAAAATGTTCCTGTTGTCTTTTAACGAAACTCGTATTTAACGTCACAACTACCATAATGACCAATTCTTGATATTTCATAGAAATTTTTACACTTCAGTTTTAGGCACTCTAATAACTTGTTGCAAAATGTATGGACAGAAACGTATTTCCTTCTTTCATCGTGTATTTTCTCACAAATCTTTCATATTCATTTCTTTGATACAAACTTTATAAATATTTTGATCGTTACACTGCGAATTTGTATACATTTACAAGAAATTTAAAGATATAAAATTACACAGGATGAACGCAATATGAAAAATTTCATAAAATAATTAAAGTATAATGCTTTTTATAAAAGACAATTCTCTATCAAAGTTCTACGTTTTTAATTGTATTAATTATATTCTGAGTTTGTATAAAAATCCGCAGTTTATTAATACAAGTATAGTTGTAGTGTTAAGATTTCGAAGAAGGACATGTTTTGAGATTACAAAAGGTTGTAGCCTATCTATCTACTTGATGCCGGTTCGCTCTCTTTTCGATTTAGTTGACCGCCAACGTGCCGGTGACTCCCGACATTCAACAGGTATCTATACAATCGATGTGTTTGTGTTCCGTGGTATTTCCCATGGCGGTGTTGTGTTGGTATCAGTGATCTGCGCTTCCTTCGAAGAGACGCTTGCGCCGGTAAGGCAGACTCTCCGCGTTTCGTGGCTGTCCGTTATTAGTACGCCGCCAGCCGTCGAAGCTGGATGATCTTTCGATCGTACTTCGAACGGTCGAACGCGTTATTTTTGTTTACGTGACCGGTTTTTGTATGAAACTCGACTTTGAATTGAGCGAGCGACGTATATTAATTTAAGTCGTGCGCGTGTATTGTCTGTGAAATCGACGACAAACAGCTCGGGGCGATCGATCGTTCTTATAGAATTTTCGATCTCATTTAGTGTCCGATAACTATCGATACGATTCGATTTTGCGTTCAATTCGATACAATTCGTTAAACCGTGTTCTAATACGAGATGAGTGGATTTTTGGAGATTGTTAGATCGTTCATTGATTCCTCGGTATTATAGCTTGTCAATAAACGTCGTGAAAGCGAATAAACGAATTCGTAGCTCGCAATTAGAGGTCATGTGACGGAGAAAGTGCGATGTATTTGGAGATGTTATTCGGGGCATGTTTTTCGGTGGTTCGGACCAGTGAATTCTACGGGAATGGTACAAGAGTGACGGAAGTTTGAAAGGCGACATTTTTGGAAGAGAAATCGTGTCGCAGTTAGCTGAATGTGTACGTAAACAGATTTATCAAGGATAAAGTTTGCCAACGGAGCGATCTTTCGCAATGTTTAAAAGTTGCATTGGCAATACATGGTAGACGTGTTTGTCGTAGAGGTTATTTTTTCGACACAGAATTGCCGTGTTAGCTATTTTTCATTTTTTACTTATGTATGTACATTTGTATTCCCGCGCTTACATCCCCCCTCCTCTAATTTTCAAATCGATGTTATTAATTGTCTCCTTTCTTTCTTAATGTGTCACTTTTGTTAAGTACGAATTGGTTTACGCATGTGTACGTGGGTTTGCGAAAAAATGTGAAAAAATTAACGATAAATCGGTTTGACGAGTTAACCTTTCACGGGACGTAATAATGTACGTACATGTTTAGTTTTTATTTCATTGTAGTAAATTAATCTTTCAAGGGATACAATAATGTACATACAGCGCACATATGTGTATACACATTTAGCTTTCATTTAATTGGAGAATGTCTCCGAAACATACAATGGTTATAAATGTATAGGTTATTTTTGTACGATTAGTAAATCAATTGATCGGTGCATATTGATACACATACATATGTATATACGTGTTTAGCCTTTATTTAATTCAAGTGTGGTTTCAAATGATACAATGGTTACAAATATATCTATTTATTTTTATTTCAATGGATTTAATAAAACAACTAATTTATAGTTTTGCATATTATACGTATTCTAGATATTTTTGTGCATTTAAATTCCCAATAAATGCATACATATCCACGGTCTAGATATAAATTTGATTGAAAAATCGTTCCATAACTATTTGGCTCTTGCAAATGTCGGTATTTCATTGCATACCTAGTAATATCTGTAAAATTAGTTTTATCAACTCATAATAGTAAAATAACAATTCCTCGTTACATATAATGTAATCACTGTTCATCAATACATAATCTTTACTCGCCATTGTGTGGTTAAATTGCCCATTTTCGAGTAGTTTATGTAGCAGACAGGTATTAAAATGTGCTTCGTAAAAAAGATCGGCAAATGTTTGCGAAGAAGCCCGGTGTTTTAACACGGGAAATCCTTATATATTGCATCCGTGATACCTCGAGAACTGATTCTCGTTAATTATTGCGGAGTTTAAAGGACGCGAAGAGAGACGCCGCGAGAAAAAAAGAGGTAATTCAAAAGTTCCGTGATTAATGAAGTAATTCGTTCCAAGTAAGAAGTTGTATTTCATTTCGCCTGACTTTCCTTCTTCTGAAATAATCTCTGGGGAAACGGAGAATTATGGAAATCGGGGTGGGGGTATGACTCTAGAAAAGGGAAAAGGAAGACGTTAAACAAAAATTTCGTAAAACGGATTATTTCGTAAGCTTGTAAATAAAACACGAATATCGTTTGAAAACCGTGTTTAATTTATTTACGACCAAAATTTCGTTTGATTAATTAACAATTATCAAGGTAATTTATTATAATTCTTCTCCTCGATTCGAAATTTCAGCGGTGATAGCTATAAATAAATGTTCTGTTGCCAGTACGATATAACGTAGTAATAAAATATAGCAACACATTGGTGAACAGATAAAATAAAACTAAAAAGGGAACGAATACATAGGTTTCATGTTACGTAGCACTGTAGACGGTTCAATTCTTCGTCCTCTCGTGCGACGATAGAATATAACAGGGAAAAGTATTGGAATTTTTAGAACGAAGTAGGATTAAGAGCGATAAAACAATCGTTATCGAGTTATATATTTTTCGATCGTTAGATAATTTCGTATACTTAAAAACATTGGCTCGTTCTCTGATAAATTTGCAAAAGTTGCTCGATTAGGCAACAAGAGTACCATTCTCGAAGAAGTTATTGACACGTGCGACCCGATGTTTCACTCAAACGAGGGGAAAGTAGGAAAGTGAAAAGGCAAAAAAACTAAAGTGCGAACTGCAATGTGCAAGAAAAAAGGTGAGTGTGCTGCTGTCAGTAAGAAGAACGCAAGAGAAACACGACAACGATGACGGAAGGCGGACCGAACATAAGCGTGAGTAACAGATAATTTCACTTTACGCAATTTCACTTTACGCAATTTCACAGACTGTAAACTGTGACGATTCAAGCTTTACCAAGCAATTACCAAGATGACCAATATCCTGTATCCACCTTCTATTTCATTCTTCGCGTTACTTGCCTTCCCTCAAATCCAGACCTTTCTTCATTACCATCTTGCGCAATAATTAATAATATTTGTGAATTGAGAGAGAAAGAGAGAGAGAGAGAGCGAAATAAATTACAAGATAATAGGTTATAGACTTCTCTTTTATAATTTTATAATCTCACGGCAAATATTTCAACTCTCTGACGATTACAGATCTGTTTTTTCTGAGAAGAATAAATTTCCATGCATTTGATTATCAGAATTTCATTATCAGTGGCAAACAAATGTCGATGGACGAATCTATGTTGGATTAATTTTTACAACAGAATGATTTAACAAATAAAAGGGTATCGAGTCAGCCGAGGTTGTAGTTAAAGATTAATAACGAAACAGACAACGCATTATTTTCTACTTTTCTTCTTCCACTTGGACAATTTTTAAATCGTTTCCTTCTTCGCATTCTCCCCACTTAAATTATTTTTCCGATAAATATTTTAACAACGAAACAAAGAACGCATCATCGTCTATTTCTATTTTCTTATTTGCAGAATTGTACAATTTCTTCTCTCGTCACATCACTCTTTTGCTAAGTCCGCTTATGGGTTCCGCCTGTGAAAGTCGTTCTTTTGCTGGCTTTTCCCTTTTGTGCGTTTTCTCTTTCTTTCGCCGATCTTCCCTCTCGTTGGTGTGTTTCTTCTCCCTTAGATTTCCCTTCAGCCCTCCGTGTTCGTTTCTTATCAGCGAACTTTCGTTTCCCTGCCCCCTCTATCTTCAGGTCTCGTCGTACATCTTTCTTCTCCCTTAAAGTCGCCGATTTTAAAAGCTTCGCTCGTACGGGTTTCCTCCTTGTGTCTTGCAAGGATTCAAATTGAATGATTAAGAAAATGTTCATTTTTTCACGTCCACCATGGAATTAGCAACTATTGTGCCGAACAAAGGATCGGATTCCTTTGAACGACACGTTACCATTTTCATTACGTGCAATGAAATATTTGATGAAACTATACGAAGCTAATTTTAATACTATCGAACTTTTCGTATATTTTAGGTCGTCCTAAAATAAAACTTCCTTTCGTTTTGTAAGAAAATAATGGATGCACAAAATTTTCCGTTTTATATTACTTTATCGAATTACGTATGATCAATTTTCTTCCATCAAACTAAAGATCACAACATTATTCGACAGATTAGGTTTCATGTTTGTATAGAGACGCGTCGTTGTGAAAGACGTGTCCGTAAATGAAAGACACTTTTCGTATTCGTTCTTTGCGTTTATACGTTGAATTATTAGAATTGCACGTGTTCTCCGAGTGCCACTTTCATTACGTGGAATTAAGTACTTGAGAAAAATACACCTGTGAGATTAGCTTTAATATCGCTGCATCATGCGTGAGCCGGATATCATACAAAACGCGAAACAATTATATTACACACGAGCCATATCTTTGTATCTGTCTGTCGATATTTTCATATTCAATTCTCATAATTTCACTCCATTGTATTTTTTTTATTTAATTGTATTGTTCTTTATTGCCAAGTAATTTCGCTATATAATAATTCCAATATTTTCAATCTCAATATCATCGACAATAATCTTTTTTTTTTTTTTCTTTTGCAAAGTGTTTAGCGTATCGGTGCTAAGCAGAATCAGGGGATTAATGAAGCTATACAAATGAGTTTTATCCGAGCCGAGTCAAGATAATGGAAAAATACCGGCTTTATTTATTCGCTTTTGCAATTTGCATGTTCGCAACGTTTCAATTAACGAGGTTAAAAAAATAATGTCACGTTTATCGCTCGGTAACGGGGAACTGGCGTTTTCATTTAAGAATTTATGGGGGTGGGGAGGGAGGAGGAAGATGTGGAGGCTGGCGTGTTTTAATCTTGGGCGGCGATGAACGGTTTTAACCGGAAGTACAGGCTGAAGTGTCTCTCAACAATTTCAATGATATTACGCGGATCGTTATACGCACTTTCAGCCTCAACTTAACAGCGTTGTTAAATTCAGAAAATACGTTTAGTAGGTTGCCGCTGTGGCAGCTCGTTTATCTGGCTACCGGTCATCCGGATTCTTGCTTTATCCAGCGGATTAAAACCGAGACAAACGTACCATACTTCTGTACAATTTTAAATGTCAAAGGATCATTGCGCAATCCTTTATTTTCCATTTCATTCGTTTTAAGCGATATCCATCCTCTCTGTTTCGAACTTATCGTAGCTATAACCTTTACGTTCGCTTCGTTTCTCAATTGAACACACGTAGACGAAGGATAGAGCTTGTATCATTAGCATTCTTTATCTGTTCATTCATCATTCAGGGAAAAAGGAACGAGGTTGTTTAATCCGTTTCTCTATCGGTACGTTCTTTTTTTTTTTTTTTTTTTTTTAACGC